CTAAAATAATCGATTAAACGAGTCTGGAAGTGATTTAATCGATTAATTTGAATTTTAATCGATTAAATTCGACCAAGTTTGCTTCCTAGCCGTTGCCAAATGATATTTTGACCATTATTCCCTTCCATATGAATGTTGGAGATGCTTGGTTATAAATAGGGACTTTCATTTCAATTCTACTCAATTCTATCTCTTGAAATCAAGTTATCTTGCCTTATTCTAGCTATCTTGCCCTCTTCTCACTACACTTAGCTTTCTAAATCTTCTTGTTATTCCTCTAATCTTTCAATGGCCTCATCTTCTCGTGCTAAGATCCCTACTAGAAGAAGATCTGCACCCTCATCTCGACCCCGTCCTAATTCCGTAGAAGGATGGATTTCTGATACAGATGACCAACAAGAATTTCTGACCTACTGGAAGGAACGAGCTATTATTTCTCCCAAGTTTCTTATTGGTGAGCAATTCATCAATAGGGGATTCAATTTTCCCAACCTTCTTGAAATTCAAGGAGTTCTTCCCTTCATCCAAATGCAAGGTACTTATTATCCTGACTTAGTTAGGGTATTTTACTCTAGATTTAAATTTAGAGATCAAATTGCTACTTCTAGAGTAAAGGGTGTCACCATTATTCTCAACGATGATATTTGGGAAAACGTCGCTCACTTTCCAATTAGAGAAGATGCTATTAACATTTATGGTGAGTTAGATGACTTTGACAGGTTTTTAGCTTACCGTTCTTTTCTGAGAAATCCCTCCATGGAGATTGGGTGTCTCCTTCATGCTGGACCTTTAAAGAAGGAGGAATGCATGATTCTCCATCTAATTGTTTGGATCCTATGTCCTCGAGCTACAAATCATGCCCAATGTTCTTCCATTGATCTTCGTATTATTCATGCCATAATGAATAATGAGTCGTTAGATTGGGGCGTTCTTGTCACAATGACCATGTTAAAAGAAAAACGTCATCCCACATTCAAAATTCCATATGTTTTACTTGTCTCTCGTATTCTTGAATATAAAGGAGTGAATGTTGAAGGTGAACAAGCAGTTAGAACAAATAACTTGAACCGCATGCTGGACAACACATTGATTCAACTCCAAATGGTGTGAGTCAATGATATTTATGTTCACAAAGATGACGTTCCTAATCAAGGTGATGCTAATGAAGATTCTGATGAAGATATGCCTCCAGCTGCTGAGTTTCCCTCTGACCAAATCCAAAGTGTTGGAACTTCCTCTACTCATCATGAAACCCGACAATCCATGGAAGACATGTTATCTGACATGAATCAGAGGATGCAATCATTCTTCACTCTTTCTGGAGTACGACATGAGGAAATAATTCGCCGTATATCTGATGTAGATGATAAAGTGTGTCGTTTAGAAAATAGATTTGATGCACACTTTCATAGTGATGATAGTGAAGAATTTTAATTTTGTTGTTTATTTTCTCTTCTTGTGATGTAATGTATTGACATTTCTGAAATAAAATGTGATGTTTTGTTATTGCATTGATTGAGGGGGAGCTTTCTCTAAATTATGCATATTTTGAGGGGGAGCTCTTATGTTTGTAATGGATGAATTATTTTTTATTCTAATCAAAATAGGGGGAGAAAATATTTAAAGCCTAATTTGATTACTTTTAAATATTATCAGGTATGTTTAATGTGTTTGTTAGTATGACAGATAAAACAGGTTATTACAAGGCTTTAAAAGATAATTTTGATCATCATCAAAAAGGGGGAGATTGTTGAACATTCAAGGACTTGATGTTGCACTTGATAGACATGAAGATTGTTGATTTTGATGATGATTCAAGAACACAAAGACTTAGAGTGTTGAAGACTTGTTTTGTATTGTAATAACTCTGTTTCAATTAGATTGAGTCTGTAATATTAGAGTTTAAGATAGTCAGTACATAGTCTGCACCTTAGAAGCTTCAAAAAGCTCAAATTTATCATCCATGCTCGGCTTTAATCGATTAAATAGGGAAATAATCGATTAAAATAGTGAGAAAAATCATTTTCTGTAAAAACTCACTGGTTTAATAGATTAAACCAACTTTTAATCGATTATCAGGCGGTTTAATCGATTAAACCACCTTTTAATCGGTTAAAACAGAGAGGTTTGGGTTCTATTGATATTTGGCTCTGTTTTAATCGATTAATACTTCTTTTAATCGATTATTTCAGTCAGATTTTGATTTTTAACTTCAAATCAAACCTGTTTTCGAAAACCTTTTTCCCAAGAACCCTAATTCCGAAAATCCCAATTCCCAAACCCTAATTTCTTTACTTAAACTCTTCTATGACACTCAGAAAAGTAAGAGCAACCTTTTTCATACAAAAGTTAAGTGTTGTGAGTGCCAGAGAACTGTTTATTGCAAGAAAAAGGGGCTTTCTGAACCTGGTGTCGGCTAGAAGCGATAAGAATCACTAAGTGGAGTTCTTAGTGGATTGTGTGTTGTGCTGTCTCTGGGGAAAATTGTTCTTCATCTCTTGTGGATTTCAAGAGAGGTGTTATCTTTACTTTATCTCTTCCATTGTAACTTGTTTGTAATAACTTTGTTTATAGTGACAGCGTTAATCCTCTGTTTGAGTGATTAGCAACTGGACGTAGGGTCTTTTGATCCGAACCAGTATAAATTTCTTGTGTAAGACTCTATCACTTTCTCTATTTACCTTTACACAGTTTTTAATCGGTAAAATTTGGGGAAAATTTTGAAAACCTAATTTTTATTAAGAAACCAATTTACCCCCCCTCTTGGTTTTTGTCCGACCACGCGAACATTCCGCTGCGCGATTCTAACACAAAATAGAGACAATTTAAGACAATTGATGGTAACAACGTATTGTATTCTATATTATTACTAACTAATATCTTATTTAGATCTCTTTTGTAATTGATGATATTAATTTTGATAAACAATATTATTGTGTGATTTTATTCACAACATAAAAGGTCAATGATAAATTTTAAAATTTTAGAACAAAGGTATTATTTCAATTATCTCTATTTATTTTTTGTATTTTGTCAAAGTTTTATATATTATTAATTACTAATATTTCATTTTACTAGTGTTATAAATGTGTAGAATGTCTTAGACGGTAGATCCACTTCGTCGTTACATAATCTACTATGGTTTTATCTTAAGGAATATAATTTTATATTAAAACTATTCATAATCATGTTTAATAGTTTTTAAAGAATTGAATTTTTTAAAAATTGACATATTATTGTAATAAGTAATAAGAAAACTATGAGTATGGATACTATATCATGCATTATATGTAGACCATAACTTATGTGTCTATTACGAATTCATGGAATTAAGTAATAATTACTTTTAATTTTTTATGGTAACTATTATGTGATTTCAAATATAATACCTATTATATATTGGTTATAGATTTTTGCAAACGATGAATCATTGGATCAAACCACTCATTGAAGAAATTAGACAAGAGTGGAAATTTATTTTTTAGCATTAGGAATAATGTTGGATTAGTATAATTATGAATTAGTGTAATTATTTTATTTTCAAATAAATTGATTCATAGATAATAGATATTAATTGTTTACATAATTATTTACCATTTGTATATTGTTCTTAGATGAAACTATATATGAGTTGTCTAGTTGTTTGCTTAAGAAATTTGAATTTACAAGTTGATGAATGATAACGAGCAAATATAACTTAAAAAAAAAAAAAACGCTCATACTACATTAGTTATAGCCAAAATTGATATAGCTAAAATTGATGTAGTACGAGTTATACTACATCGTTTATGACCACAATCGCATACCAAAACGATTGTGGTCATAACTAATGTGATATGCCTAATACTACATTGATTTTGACTATAACTAATGTAGTATGGATCTTCACCTTCACATATCTTAGTTTAATTCCACATTGGTTCCCAATGCAATCGATGTGATGGTGACTTTTCTACATCGGTTATGTAACTAATATAGAAAGTGTTATACTTTCTACATTAGTGGTATCTACATTGGTGGTGTCTAGATCGGTTATTGAATAGATGTAGAATTCCCAAAATAATACCGATGTTATATCCTCTCTCTACATTAGTGTAAAAACATTTGACACTCATCGCATGACAAAATAAAACTTCTTTTACACATAACTTATAGTTCAGACGAGGCAACCATCAAGCTCATCACCTCTAAATATGGATGCAATAACTATCATTGGTAGACTTAAAGTGCATATTGCATAGATGCAATAACAAACAAACACCTAGTTGCAAGCTAAGTTGGTTGCCTTATGTAGCAACAATGGCTAGATGCATGCCACTCTCATAGTTATCCAAGAAAAAGCCGATCAAGATCAACGATGTTACTAAGATGAATATAGTTTTTCGTTTGAAATTCAATACAATGATTAATCACATGTTAAATATGTATTGAATTTTAAATTGTTTTATGAACAATTTGGGATTTTTTTTTATAATTCATTAATTTATTAAGCTTACTTTTTGTTTTAAAATTTGATGAAATTTTGATGTTAAAATTGTTATTATTCTCTGAAAGCATGCTTGATGGTGGTGGATATTCTCTCACATCTTTCATCCCATGTACTTAGAGATCAATGTGAATTGTTATCGAACAATTATGACATCTTGCTCATGCACAATTATCTAATGCAAGAGTTCTAGTTGATATTGATCCTCATATAGGGAGGAGTTCAAGACCTAATCATGTGCAAATTGTGAATTATTATTGGGTTGATGAAAATATTACATCTTGAAAAGTTCCACACAAATTCGCATCCAACTTCCCTACAATTTCTTGATTTTGCTCCCCTATCTTGGCCACCCATTACTTCAAGTCTTTTTTCTTGTGTTAAAATAAAACCACCATTTTCTTTGGCTCAACCTTCTCCAAACTAGCCTCCTTAAGTTAACACTTTTAATGATTTTCGACCTCCTTCAAAGCTCTCTCAGTATTTCTTTGGGTTTGTTGGTAAGCTCATTATTCTATTTAGCCTTGGCAGATAAAACATTTGCATGCTCGACTAGTTGGCCTTGAAGCACATGGTCCACCCAGTTAAAAGGACTTTCTTTGTTGTGGAGCAACAAAGATGATGACATGGTGAGTGTAGGGGAAGCTTGTGGTTGAGTAACCAGAGGAGGAATGGTTACAATAGTTGAAGTCAGAGGTATCTCAATTTGTGTCAATTTGTCTCAGTAAAGGGGAATGTCAATGATGTCACCTAACTCTTCAAAATACATTATTACCTTAGGATAAGCCGAAGGTGGATTCATATCAGCCATTGGAGATAATGTTGGACACTATTATCTTTACTTTTGTATGAGTTTTTTTGGGTTGGCTTTAGCCTGGTTGCCAAATCTAGAGGGGCAACACCCAACTTGGCACAAATTTTTTTGCAATCGAACAAGCTCCCCATAATTTCTAAAATGAAAACATAAGCATAAGATAAAAGTACATAAAAATTTACATTAGTCTACAACACAACAAACCCTTACCACTAAACCAAGTTTTTTTTATCATGGACATAAGGAATAAACAATAAGTCCTTACAGTTGACGAGATAAGGTAAGTTAGAATTGTTATGGTAAGTTTATCCTTAACAATTAGTAAATACTCATTTAAAACTTGAACTTGACAAGAGTATAGCGATAAAGGAAAGCAAGGCGAATTGTTTAAAGTTAGAGAGATTAACTACATTACATTTTACTCGGAAAAATCGAGTTTTGAAGTTTTTATAAAGGATTTGGTGCACATGGAGAATAACCTATCATGTTGAGACCCATTCAAGAAAACCCAACCAATATCCGAACCATATTTCAACTTATAGAAGTGCATAAAAACATTCACAAAAAGCTTTCAATTGCAAAAAGAAGCACAAAATTTGGAAGGCCTTCAGAAATGTCCAATTATTGGGTACAATTGGCTCAGAGCTACTCTAAGCATAGACAACATTTGACATTCAAAGTTAGTGAATGATAACACAATTTTTAGCTCTTTGAATAGATACTCATACAAAAGTGAAGTCATTCCCATTAATGTAGACTCTATCAAAAGGAAAACAAACTCAACATATTGGAGTATACTAGTTCGCACACATCAAAAGGTTGATAAAAACTGTTAGACATTGTTTAGATATTGTTTAGATATAGTTTGATATTGTTAAGATATTGTTAGATATTGTTAACCACAATATCAAATAATATCTTCTGTTTATTCTGTTTACTTTCGGTTACTCTTTTAGTTGTACCTCTCTATTATAAATAGATTACCCTATGTGTGATTTATACACAAGGGAGATTAATTTCAAACCCTATTTCCTCTATATTCAACATGGTATCTAGAGCTTAAGGTTATCTTGAATTTTTGTTTTCGCCTTTTGTCCACTGTTGGAGCCGCCCCACCGCTACTGGTAAACTGATCCTCCACATCAGAAAAGAATTATCTTTGTTACTGAATTTTATTTGGTAGTGTGAAAGTGCATGTCTAGGAAAGTTCTGGCAAGGAAAGACTTGGTATTTAAGTGTGTCCATTAGTGACCCACCTCTCTTTCCTGGGAACTTACTTGGTGTACTGGTTCACGTTGTTGTCACCGTTGCCGCTGAAGCAGTCACTTGATCCGTCGCTGCCGGAGAATTTGCCGAAGGTTCATTTTTTTGATTGGTGACATATGATTTTGCTTGTCTCGGTCAGGTGACCACCATGCCGTTGAGATCACCACTATCGGAGTTGGTCGTCCCATTGTCTCCTGCGCCGTTTAGTCTTGGCGAACTTATTTTTAGTATTCTCATTTTGGATTTGTGCTTCGTGGGTTAATTGGATTACTTTGGATTGTTTTAGGGTTTGTTCTCCCACTCTTCATGACTTCTTCCACTTCTTCTACTATTTCCAATTTTGTTAACGATTCTTTTGTGTTGACATCCCATCGTGATGACCGGACTCGCCCTCGCAAACAGGGAAAAGGGCGTCCTAAGTGTGAACATTGTGGCAAGCTAGGTCACAAGATTAACAAGTGTTATACATTACATGGTCGTCCTCCTCAATCTGCTGCAGTTGTTCAGACCAATCTTTCCCCACTTTTATCTGCTAGGGATCCTCCTTCTTCTGTTGCATCCGACATGCCTGCTATGTTCAACAAATTTCTCGAATGGTATAAGGATCAACAGTCTTCTAGTTCCACTATATCTATCACACATACAAATACATATTTTGATGGTCTGACCCAATCATTTTCTCCTGGTCCTTGGGTTTTTGATTCAGGAGCCACTGACCATATTACTGGTAACAAATCTTTGTTCTCCTCTTTATCCTCTCCTAATCATTTACCTTCTGTTACATTGACTGATGGCTTTAGAGAATCATCTCATGGTGTTGGAACGGTTAAACTTTTTCCTTCTTTAACCATTGATAATGTTCTTTATGTCCCTGGGTCTCCTTTTAACCTGTTGTCCATCAGTCGTCTAACTCATTCTCTTGATTGTGTTGTTACTTTTACCAACAATTATGTGTGTTTACAGGACCGGAGTTCGAAACAGGTGATTGGCACAGGATGTGAGTCTCATGGTCTTTATTATCTCCATCCCTCTACACATGTTAGTACAGTTATGGAGTCTCCCTCTCTTCTTCATGCTCAGTTAGGTCATCCAAGTCTTGCCAAGTTACAGAAACTTGTCCCTGCTTTGTCCAACTTATCTAGTTTGGTGTGTGAGTCATGTCAATTAGGCAAGCATAGTCGTACTTCTTTTCCTCGTAGTTTCTCACGTGGTGCTTCATCCCCTTTTGTTGTGGTTCACTCTGACATTTGGGGACCTAGCCGCGTTAAGTCTATTTTAGGTTTTCAATACTTTGTTACTTTCGTTGATGATTATTCCAGATGCACTTGGTTATTTTTGATGAAAAATCGTTCTGAATTATTTCATATCTTTCAAACTTTTTTTAATGAAATTCAAACTCAGTTCGGTGTTTCTATTAGAGTTTTGCATAGTGATAATGACCGTGAATATCTTTCTCATTCTTTTAAACAATTCATGGCTTCTCACGGTATTTTGCATCAAACTTCTTGTGCTTATACACCTCAACAAAATGGTGTAGCTAAACGTAAAAATAGACATCTTATTGAAACAACTCGCACACTTTTAATTCATGGAGATGTTCCTCAACATTTTTGGGGTGATGCTCTTCTTACTGCATGTTATCTCATTAATCGCATGCCTTCTTCGGTTTTAGATAATAAAATACCTCATTCCATTTTATTCCCTCATGAACCACTTCATCATTTACCTCTGAGAGTTTTCGGGTCTACATGTTTTGTTCATAATTTCAGTTCTGGTCTTGACAAGCTTTCTCTTAGATCACATAAATGTGTTTTCTTAGGGTTTACAAGATCACAAAAAGGATACAAATGTTTTTCTCCTTCCCTTAATCGTTATTTTGTGTCAAAAGATGTCACCTTTGATGAGTTGTCTCTTTATTTTAAAAGTCAATCTTCATCTCTGTCTCCATCCAATCTTGTCAACACTCCTAATACATTTAATGTTCCTTTTGTTTGTAACCCTCTAACTGTGTCTTCTTCACCATTAGTTCCTGCTCCGCAGTCAGCTTCTTCTCCACTGCCTCTTCAGATTTATAGTTCTCGAAACCAATCACAACCACCACCATGTGACTCCACTCAAGTGTCAACTACTCTGTCTCCTCCGGATCTGACACATGAGTCTGACCTTCCCATTGCCCTCCAAAAAGGTATTCGTTCTACATGTAATCCCTCTCCCCATTATATTACTTTGAGTTATCATCGACTGTCATTACCTTTTTATATATGTTTTTCCTCTATTTCTTCTGTGACCATTCCAAAAACTGTCCGAGAAGTTTTAGCCCATCCTGATTGGTGTCAGGCCATGTTAGATGAACTAAGTGTTCTTCATAATAGTGGGACTTAGGAATTGGTCCCGTTACCATCTTGGAAATCTGTTGTTGGTTGCAGGTGGGTGTTTGCTATCAAAGTTAGACCTGATGGTACTATTGATCGCCTCAAAGCTCGTCTTGTGGCCAAAGGTTATACTCAAATTTTTGGATTGGATTATGGAGATACCTTTTCCCCTGTGACAAAGATGGCTTCTGTTCGTTTATTTAACGCCATGACTGCTCTTCAACAATTACCTCTTTATCAACTAGATGTTAAAAATGCTTTCCTCAATGGTGATTTGCAAGAAGAAATATATATGGAGCAACCTCCTGGGTTTGTTTCTTAGGGGGAGTCTTCTAGGATGGTATGTCGTCTTCGCAAATCCCTATATGGCCTAAAACAGTCTCCTAGGGCTTGGTTTGGAAAGTTTAGCAAGGTTGTTCAACAATTTGGTATGACTCAGTGTGAAACAGATCATTCTGTCTTTTATCGACACTCGAGTGCTGGATGTGTTTACTTGATAGTATATGTTGATGACATCATTCTTACAGGTAGTGACAACCATGGCATCTCTCAGTTGAAACAACATCTCTGTCACCATTTTCATACCAAATATCTTGACAAACTTAGATATTTCTTGGGTATTGAGGTGACACAGTCCAATGATGGTATTGTTATATCTCAGAGGAAGTATGCCATAGATATTTTGGAGAAAAATGGGTTGATGAGTTCAAAGTCTGTTGATACACCCATGGATCCCAATACTAAACTTCTACCAAATCTTGGGTATTGAGGTGGCACAGTCCAATGATGGTATTGTTATATCTCAGAGGAAGTATGCCATAGATATTTTGGAGAAAAATGGGTTGATGAGTTCAAAGTCTGTTGATACACCCATGGATCCCAATACTAAACTTCTACCAAATTAGGGGGAGCCTATATCTGATCCTGAGCAGTATAGAAGATTGGTTGGAAAATTGAATTATCTTACAGTTACTCGTCCTGACATTTCCTTTGCAGTTAGTGTGGTAATTCAATTTCTTAATTCACCATGTGAAGATCATTGGAATGCAGTCATTCGTATCTTGAAGTATATTAAAGGATCTCCTGGAAAATGATTGTTATATGGTTCTAATAACCATACAAGAGTTGTTTGCTACTCAGATGTTGATTGGGCAGGATCTCCTTCGGATAGAAGATCTACATCTAGATATTGTGTCTCCATTGGTGGTAACTTGATCTCATGGAAAAGTAAGAAATAAAGTGTTGTGGCAAGATCCAGTGCAGAAGCAGAATATAGAGCTATGGCCTCAGCTGCCTGTAAACTTGTTTGGCTCAAGCAATTGCTTAGAGAGTTACAATTTGGAGATGTCACTTAAATGACACTTGTGTGTGACAATCAGGCTGCTCTTCATATTAGTTCTAATTATGTCTTTCATGAGAGGACCAAACACATTGAGATTGACTGTCATTTCATTCGAGAAAAGATTATGTCTGGAGATATCAAGACTGAGTTTGTTAACTCAAGTGATCAGTTGGCAGATATTTTCACTAAGTCTTTACGGGGGCCTAAAATTGATTATATTTGTAACAAGTTTGACACATACGATTTGTATGCTCCAGCTTGAGGGGGAGTGTTAGATATTGTTTAGATATAGTTTGATATTGTTAGATATTGTTAACCACAATATCAAATAATATCTTCTGTTTATTCTGTTTACTTTCGATTACTCTTTTAGTTGTACCTCTCTATTATAAATAAATTTCCCTATGTGTGATTTATACACAAGGGAGATTAATTTCAAGCCCTATTTCCTCTATATTCAACAAAAACCATCTATCAAAGACATTATTGTAAACTCAAACCTAGAATGATGGACTACATTGAGTACTCAGTAGTACTTAGGATCATTAATAGGAGGAAACCTATCTTTGCTTTGATCTTAGTTGGACCACCTCCACTTGGGCCCTTTACCTTACACTTTTGGGCCTTTGAGGCCTTTTTCATTTTCCTTACTTTGTATTTTCAGGATGTTGAAACAACACTTACCACATCAACAATCATTAGAGAAACAAAAAAAGTAACATCACCCTTATCAAAAGAAGAGGGGGATGCTTTTGGTACTCTTAAAATTGAAAGAGTCACCTCTGATCAAACACATCTCCCTAGAGATAAAGAGGGTTGCACGCTTAGAAGAATCAACTGAGAAAGAAAATGACATCGTTCAAATATCAAGGAGTAGTAGGGATGGCAAAACGGGCCAGCCCGTCCCGTTTTGGCCCGCCCCGCCTTTGGCCCGCCAAAAGCGGGGCGGGGCGGGCTGGCCCGATATAGTCATGACGGGCTGTAGACCTTAGCCCGCCCCGCCAAGGGGCTGGGTTAGTGGCCGGCGGCTGGCCCGCCATAATTAAAAAAAATATTTTTTTTAATAAATTTAATAATAAGATTATTATTTGTTTGTCAATAATTCAATATATATATATATATATATATATATATATATTATTTCAATTTAATAATATAAATCAATATATTATTTAAGAAATTATAATTTAGAACAATAATAAAATTTACATAATAATAAATAATAACAAATATATATATATATATATAAATAACATTAAACTTATAAAATTTATATTTTTATATTGAAAAATTCAAATACCTATATCTTTTTTATTTGATAAAACTTCAGTATTATACTTGGTTGAGTAATTCTTATACCTTTAATTCAAGTAATAAGGATAAATATAATCAAGTACTTAGGATAAATAAGGAGAACAGGAGAAAATGTTATATTTTAGGAAAGAGAATATTTTATGTGAGAATGAAACTTTTTAATTCTTTTTTTAAAATTTTTAACTTTATATATTATCTTTATAAATAATTTTATTACAATAAAAAATATTTTTTTATTAATTAGGTGGACCGCGGGTTGGCGGGCTTGGCGGACGGGCCAAAGCGGCTGGTGGGCTGAAAACACCAACCCGCCCCACCATATTATGGCAGGCTGGCGGGCCAGCCCGCCGGGCCTAGCCCGTTTTGCCATCCCTAAGGAGTAGTGATAATAGCAAGGTACCTTAAATGAAGGTTGCACTGGCTCAAAGTGAAGACAAAGCAACAATAAAGACATGAAAAAAACTACGAGACCAAAAGGATGAAGAAAGTACAAGAGCAGAAAGAGTGAAAGCCAAAAACATAGAGTGAGTAAATGAAATGAGTTAAGGATGAGAAGAGACATTTTTTAGTTCCAAATTTAATTATAAAATATGGTGATAAGATGTGTTTTTGAAAAGTGTTAACAAATGCAATTATAACATATTTTTTCATATTAAATATAATGTCAGAAAAAGTATTCACAATGAGCATAGAATAATTAACTCATTTATTCTCATAAATATTCCTCTAAAGATATACTCAATTTTTAAGATCAAAGGATTTAAAAGTGAGGACACAATCATACTAAATAATTAACCAAATATAAGATTACTCTAAAATATTAGACACATCTTCATATAATAGATATTTATCCCATAAGTCTTAAATACTTATTTAGATTTTACTCTATAAAATAAAAAAATTGATACTTTTTTAACTTAATTAAGTTTTTTTTTTCAATATTCTATATTTATTCATTTAATGACTTATTAAAGTCTTTGTAGGTGATTTTTCCTTTGACATATAACTCAAAAAGAACAGGTAACAAAACTCGATCAACCTTTATATTTAAATAAAATAAGTATTATAAATAAATTTAATAACCATTTATTATAATAATTTAAATGTGATAATTATAATTAGAATTGATATATAAATACTTATTAAAATTTCATTTGCTATGATAAGTAATTTATTATATTAATTTTATTACAATTCACATTATTTATGATGTAATTTATTAGTTTAACATTTTATTTCTTTGTCGCATTTCACTATTAATTATTATTTTTCTGTACATTTTACCTTCGTTATCACGTCATTCTGCTGTCTCTACGTTTTTTTCCTCTCAACCTTAGAGATAAAAATAAAATAAATAATGGAATTCAATCAATATTTTCCTCAATCACATTAAACAATAAATAAAAGGTAAAAAATGAAAAACACATTATTTATAGAACTGAAAGATAAATACATTTGTTAATTAGAAAGTAAAGGAATGAAAATAGGATTTCTTGAAAAGATAAATTACCCTCTTAAAAAAATTTAAAAATTGAGAAAAAAAATTCAAATTTTCATTTATTATAATTCTAAGTTGTCTTTAGGTTATTTTATTTTTTTACTAATTTTATTTAATCACATTTTGAAAGATTAGTAAAGTATCTTTAATTATATTTTTTCCCTAATTTTGATTATATTTCGTATTTAAACTTTATTTTATTTTTTTAAATTTAAATAGAAATATTATAGAAGTGATAACAAGTACATGATATTACAAATAAACAAAAGATTAAAATTCAAAATTAAATATTAAAGTTATTTTTTTATAAAAATATTATATAAACACTTTTAATTCTGTGTTTTAAATTTATAAATTACATAATAATTTCATTAAACACTTATAAATTTTTAATTACCATTATTTTTTTAGTTTTTAAGCTAACTTCTATTAGTCTTGTTAAACACAGTTTATGATAATTATTTTCCTTTTTACCAATTATGATAGTTACTACAAAAATTATATTCAAAATAATTTTGATAATGAATTGGTGCATTTCCCAAATGTGAAAATTAAACCCCTTCTACTGATAAAAAAATTAAACTCCTTTTAAAAATAACTATTATTTGATTATTATGAGATTAATTCAGCCTTCGTAAGTTCGTATGATATGAGGCCAAGTTGTTGAGCAACGGCGATCAGAGTGGGAATGGTAATTCCTTCAAACTGAACTTTGGTTCATATCTTATCTGCCTTTCTTTGCAATTGCATAATTGCTTTGTTTGTCTCTACCATTTGGTGTGCGTAGTTTGAATGATAATGGTAACCCTTTTGTTACCAAAGGAATCTTCAAGTTTGTGAAAGGCAGAAGAAAGAACGTCTGTTTCTTTTGTTTCTGAAACTGGAACAACTTCAAGTGTTCATAATCTCTTATTTGTTTTGCTCAAACAAGTCTGACTTGGTAGTACCCGTGACCTGTTTGTGTAAATGCCTTTACGACCTTGCTGCAGTAATGTATGAAATGAGTTTCGAGTATGAAAAACTGAGGGATGTGCAAGTCTTTTGAGCTTTATTAGCAAATAGTTTCTGTGAGTTTTTGAGACTATTTGTTACTGATGCTTTAGTTAAATGAAGTGGATTGATAGATAGTTAGTGATTTTCGTTCATATATGTGTAGACTTTCTTTTGTGATGTAACGACTTTGTTCCTCATTTTAGTATTTAATAAGATTGATTTGATAATTGATTCCATCCTTTTCTGTTTTACTTGAAGTCAGCACCTTTGACTTGATACAGGTTAACAAATATGAGTGAAGAGTCGGATTCTAAAGTCGAGGCTATGGATCTCTTACGCCAGTTGGAGGATATTCTTGAATCTGATGCTCTTATGTAAGGTTTAATGATTTCATGCAAACTCATACTACCATCCCTGATGAAGTTGCTTCTGAAACTTGTAAATTTTCTGTTTTTCCTGTTAATCAAGATAGTAAGATTTTTAATTTGTATAAAAACTTATACTAATTTATTTTAGTAAATTTTGTGAAATTCTGGATGATATTAAATATAATATTGTAAATATAACCTTGTTGATGGAATGAAACCTTGTAAGCAAAGTCTTGGTTAAGGTCAATCTTGATTCTTTGTTGCTTGATTTAATTATATTATATTTCCTCCTTTTAATATGTTTTCCCTGTTTTCGGATCTAGTGATGAGCTGGGCTTTATTCATCCATCACAATTTTCCTTGCTTAAGGAAGAATCAGACATTTCGTCTAATTTATTTTATGAAGCTATCCATCAATCAGCAGATGGAGTAGTAAGCTCAGTGGAATCTTCCAACCAAGACAGCCTATATTTCTGGAACAGAGATCATAAATTGGGAATATCAACTCATGTTCTTCTACCGTTATATAGAACTGCTAAACATGCATTCATGACTACATTTAAACAATACAGAATGTGTGACAACCAATATGACAAAGTTGGAATTTGTTTACCCACCGCTTCTTCTTGTGATAATCTTGAAAGTACACTTCTGAGACACAGCAAGTCTCTTCTGCTGCTAAGCTGTGATTTTATCACAGCTTGGAATTGCAGGTTCTTCTCTTATCTATTAATATTTTCTTATACTTTTTTTTTGTTGACATCAACAAGTCGATCTCACATGTTGAGAGATTTGGATAAATTGTTTTCAACAGCTCATGATAACATTTATTTGACAACATTTTCCCGTGTTCAAATTTCTAAATTGCAGCATAGTCATTTTATGATCGAAACGTGCCTCTTGAGCTAAAAGGAAAATTTTGCTGCACAGTCACAAGATCTGTGATACTGTATGGTACTAAATGTTAGGTGCTGAAGAGTAAACTACGGCATAAGCTTAGTGTTGAACAATTTGTTGTGATGTATGAGGGAACTTGGAAAATATGATTTGTAATGAATGCACAAGAGAAAAAATAGGGATAACCTCTAATGAGGGAATATGCTAGGAATTTGATTTTTGTTACCAACTTCTTATGTTTTCCTGTGTAATTGCAGAAAATTAATAGTGTCCAAAAAGCAGCAGCTCTCAATGTTTATGGATGAACTTCTCCTGTCAGAACTTGTACTCTCATATTCACACAAAAGTGAACAAGCTTGGAACCATAGGTAATGAATGTGAATCATCTTATGTCTTTGTCCTTGTCACCAAAAGAATAAATGTATTCTAGATTAGTTTTAGAGGTTTGAATTTTGAATATTAATTGATCCTCCTTATGCTTTGAAACAACGAACAGCAATCTAATGTTTATAAGTAATTATTTAGGCGATGGGTGATCAAGTCAATCTCTGCAAACTGTTCAAATTTCAAAGAGATATTGGGAAAAGAATCTGAGCTGGTGGAAAAAATAGCTGAGGTTTAATTTCAGTATGAGAACATTATAGATTTTAAATTGGAAATGTTTTATTTTATGTTTTTATATTTGATGGGCATTCATACATGAGAAAAGGAATCATTTTTACTTTTACCTTTGTTCTGACATTTTATTAATAGGGGGGGAGAGATCTGCTGATGATTTTAATTTATTTATATAATACTTCACCTTTTTACTATGATTAGAGACATCATATTTTTATTATTTTGAGTTAAATATTCATTTATTCCTTCTTGTTACCTCATCATTTACAGAGATCAAAAATGAATTATCGTGCATGGAATCACCGTTGCTGGTTAGTCTCACACATGACCGTTGACCAGGTGTTGATTCTCTGATATTTTTTTGTTGTTGTAAGTGTTATGAGTCAAGCATATTTGACTGAAAAAATCTTAAATTATTTTTTATTGCATTTTTATTTTAATTATAGTATGTGAAAATATAAAAATGGAGTCAGCAATTCAACATTCAATTCCATTCCTATTCCCTCTCCTAATGCCGTTCCATGAAAATGTTTTTCATCAAATTAAATATGATCTTACTTGTCAATGACATAGTTAACTGTTCTCATAAAGCTATACCTATTTAGGTTCTATGCGAGTTAAAGAAATCAAGAAGTTGGGCCGCATTGCATGTTACTGATAATTGTTGTTTCCACTATCGCAGAGTAAGTTTTGATAACTTGCTTTAACCTGGCTAGTTATAGTTTCCATGCTATGAACATTTTGAGTAAAAATACATTATTTTGTGTCCTTCCACGAGCTTAGGATTTCTCTTTTGCCAATCATGGTTTCCATTATATTGCAGCGACTATTACTGAAAATTATGGAGGGCCAAAGTTGTGTGGAAGATACTGTAACTCATGGTTATAATGTTAATATAGTCCAAGCCTTGAAGGTAATATTTATGCTTATTTATTTCACATATTGTGTATGATCTAATAGTATCTTTATTTTGAGTCTGCCATAGTATGTTTGGATTGAAAGAAAGGGTATGTATGCATTAGAGATCCTACATTGAGATCCTACGTTAGCTTAATATGACTAAACTATAATATATAAGTGGGTACAAATCTCATCTTAAAAATTTTGTCAGGTTAAATTAAACTTAAAGTTCACTTTCTAAGATGGTACCATTCCTAGCAAGTTTTATTGGGCCTATTATGCCATCCACTATCAAACAACTCACAAATATCTATTCTTACTCTTGAGATGTCTAGTCCACAACGTGAAGGAGTGTATTGGAAATTCCACATTGACTAGTGTCAAAACCATGACTCATTGTGTATTTTAGGAAGTTTTATACTTTATTCATATCTTGCTAATTATTAATAGGATTATGTATTTAGAAACAATCCCATAATGATGGGGATTTGTCTCCTTAGAATTAGTTGTACATATTTCCTAAAATAACCAGCAGACTGATGTATTTATAGGTCCAATGACCTCTTAATTGATACGATAAAGTAGAATATTATTCCTTCTAAATTTGAGATTGTTAGGTTCTGTGACAGAAAGAACCTACGGTTCCACGCGAACTCACGTCTCTCCTCTTACACACATAGGAAACAATACTCACAAGTACTTTTATTATTGCTTTTAACATGAACAATACTCTGATTACAATCAACAACTTCCTCTCACAGGATGTAATGATCCTGTTAATGAACTAACTTCCCAAAATAATACCCCTCTCACACCCCCCAAACAGCTATATATAGTCTTATTTAAAAACTATGCTCTGCCACCCATAACTAACTTTAAGTTAGTTATTATTTAATTTTTTCCTCCTAACATATACTTTCCAATTCCTAACAGAGATGGTATTAGAACTCCTAATCTTTGGAAGCCTCTAACAGTGATTGTAAAAGCTAAAACGCAGCCTTCATTGTTGTACAACCTTAATCACACCCATCTACAATGACTGAGATCATGAATTATGATATGGGAACTGGGGACAGATCTCAGACTGTTGGAGAATTGTAGAATCTTCATTCTGCTTATTGATTAAATGGGAAGAATTATCTCAAATTGTCTCAACTCGTTAGGACCATCTTAAAATGAAAAGGAAGGTCATTCATTTAACTGATAATACCCCTGATAAAAATGATGCTAAGTTCAAATCATGGGATGAAGAAGACTCCATGATCATGGCATACCCGTGGAATTCAATGGTCCTATAAATCAGCTATACTTGCATGTTTCTTAAATCAGCAAAGGAAATTTGGTAGGCAGTAGAACAAATGTATGCTAAGGCCAAGGATTCTGCCAAAATCTATGAAGTAAAGATGAAAACCGTGGTTGCCAAACAAGGAAACAAATCAATTACAAAATATGCCAATCAAATCAAGTCCCTATGGATGGAATTAGATCACTATCGAGTTATAAAAAAGCAAAGTTTGTAGAAGACTTAGCAATCCTTAAGGATTATACTGAACAAGATAGAGTCTATGTTTTTCTGGTAGGCCTGAACCGTGAATATGATCAAGTCCGAATCCAAATCCTAGGAAAAGAGAAAGTCTCATGGTTTAATGAAGCAGTAGCCATTGTCAGGAGTGAAGAAAGCAAGAGAGGGTTGATGTTAGAGACCTCAACTACTGAAAATTCAGCAGAGGTGGTGGAAGGTGAAACAACCATGATTACCAATCAAAGGAAAAGTGGGGTTCCCATTATGGAGAAAAATCATCAGGAGGTTTGGTGTACCTATTGCAACAACCCATGCCACACAAAGGAGAAGTGTTGGAAATTACATGGAAAACCCCCAAGCTAAGAATGGGAGTAGAAAGGAGGCCAAAGCCAAGAATGAGAGCAAAAGGGAGGCTCTAGAAAAGGGGGAGGGCAAGGATAGGCACACAGTTAATAAAGAAGGTGCGAAATTTGTCCAATTGAATCATGAAGAGATACAAAGGGTAAGATCCTTCCTTAGTAAATTGGAGAAGTTCACATGTATGTTTCCATTTTCTTTGGTCTTAATGCTTTAGATACAACCTTTACCCATTATTGGATACTAGATTCTGGAGCCACTGACCATATGACCCCATTGCCCAAATACTTCTCCACATATTCTCCATGTCCTAGCAACAAAATATTTCCATTGCAGATGGAACCCTTATAATTGTAATAGGACAAGGCGAAATCCAAATAAGATCATCCATAACATTAAAAATTCTTTCATGTCCATAAGTTGTCCAACAATCTGATTTCTGTACAAAAACTTACAAAATATTTCTCATGTAATATTTTTCATAACAACTCTTATATATTGCAGAATGAGAACTTAGGGAGGAAGATTGGATATGCTAGAAAATGGAATGACCTATACTACATGGAGGACACTAATCAACTTACCAATAGCCACTCTCTCGTGATTGAATCCACCATGACCAGTAAAGAGAAAGCCAACTATACCATTGCTAGTTAGGACACTCTTCATTTCAAGTTGTAAAAATTATTTTCCCTTCCTTATTTTAATAATTTAAATTTGGAGAGTCTCCACTATGAGGTGTGTGAATTTGTTAAGCACGAGCGTGTACCTTTCCCATTAGCAATAAGACAGTCATTCTCCTTTTTTTCTTATCCGTACTAATGTGTGGGGTCTCACTAATGTCCCTAATATCTCAAATGCTAAATGGTTAATAACCTTTATAGATGATTATACACAGATGACTTGGGTTTTCCCATTGAAACAGAAATCTAAGGTTTGCTCTGTTTTTGTTTAGTTTGCCTTAATAATTAAGAATCAATTTGGAGTTAGTATCAAGAAAATTAGATATGATAATGCCAAGAACTACTTTAATCTTGTACTAAACTCTTTTTGCCAAAAGGAAGGGATAATCTATGAATCTTCATATGTTAACACACCGCAACAAAATAAGTTGCAGAAAGGAAAAATGGGCACTCATTAGACAAAACTAGAGCTCTTCTTTTTCAAAACCATGTTCCTAAGAAATTTTTGGGGGAAATCCTTCTTACTACCACCTACCCAATCAATAGATTACCCTTTAAAATCTTATAATCTTAAAGCTCTATGGAAGTTTTATCCTCTTTCTACCCACAGTTGGACCATACAATAAACTCCAACCTAGAATGTTTAGGTGTGTATCCTTTGTGCATGTTCATAGTAATGAAAGGGGGGATCCTAGGGTTGTCTAATGTGTGTTCTTAAGATACTCAGCCACATAAAAGGGATACAAATGTTTTCAAACTCCCCCAATCAAAAAGATTGTATGTATCAAGGGATGGCACCTTCAATGAACAAGAGAGTTGCTTTAAACATCCTCATCTTCAAGGAGAGAATGTAAGAGAGGAAGATGAGCCTCTCAACCTTCCAAATATAGAATTTGGACATGCATCTAAACCTCTTGAACTTGTAATAGAACCTGCACTTGAACCTCCCAACTCAGCAACAAAACCTGCATCTAAACCTCCTGAACTAGTAGCAAAACCTACACTTGAACCTCTTGACCCAACAACAGGACTTGCAACTAATAGGGTAGAAAATTTGGGAAAAATCTAGTCTATTCAAGTAGAGAAAAGGCCATTCTAAAATTTGCCCATGTCCAAGAATCCAAATTACCATCATTACATGAGGTAACTCCTCCTAATTCTATACAGTTCAATAATTCTAATGAGTTTGTCTCTGAAAATTTAGAAGCACAGTTAGACCAAAATCTAGACCTTCCAATTTCCCTTAAAAATGGAACTAGAGCATGCACCCAACAACCACTTTACCATCTATCAAATTTCCTATCCTTTGAAAATTTCTCTACTACACATAAAACCTTGGTCACAAACATAAACTCTATAACCACACCTTCCTTTATATCTAAAGCATTATCTGGCAGGAAATGGAAATAAGCCATGGATGTGGAAATGGACGCATTAAAAAAGAACAAGTCCTAGGAACTTGTCACTTTACCAATTGGAAAAAAATCAATAAGGTGCAAGTGGGTATGTACTATAAAGTATCGGTTTGATGGAGCCAGTGAACATAACAAGACAATGTTAGTGACTAAAGGATTCACTCAAACGTATGGAGTGGATTACTTGAAGACATTTGCCCTGGTTGCCAAGATGAACACGATCAAACGTTAGCAGTAAATTATTATTGGCACCTACAATAGTTTGATAAAGAATGCATTCCTACATGGAGGCCTTGAAGAAAAAATATACATAGAGTTGCCTGTCGGTTATGGAGAGCAAGTTACTACTAGAACTGTTCGCAAGCTAAGAAAGGTTCTATATAGACTAAAACAATCCCCCAAGAATATGGTTTGGAAGATTTACCAAAGTTATGACAAGTCTGGGCTATAAATAAAGTCAAGTTGATCATACTTTATTTATCAAACATTCAATTTCAGGGGAAGTAACAATATTATAGTTAGTGGGGATGACAAAAGGGAGCAACAAATGTTAAATCAATGTCTTGTCACAAAATTTGAGATTGAAGTGTCTCATTCCAAGAAAAAGAATCTACATATCTCAACAAAAGTATATTACTAATTTGTTTAAACAAATAGGTAAGACAGCTTGCATACTAGCTAGTACCTAAGTTGATCCAACTATAAAGTTGGGAAGTACAGAGGAGGATATTGCAATGGACAAGGACATGTATCAAAGACTCGTGGGCAGACTTTTTTACTTCTCTCACACTAGGCCAAACATTGCTTTGGATGTGAGTCTAGTAAGCCAATGTATGCACCAACTAAAGGAAACACATTTACATACTGCTCTTAGAATTGTTTAGTATTTAAAGCTTCATTTTATTCAAATGAAACAAGAATGTAAGTCTTGAAGCATATACAAATGCAGATTATTCAAGGTCAGTTGTGGATAGGAGATCAACTACTAGATATTGCACCTTCCTTGGTGGAAACCTAGTGACTTGGAAGTGCAAAAAACAGAGTGTAGAAGTTAGATCAAGTGTTGAATTAGAATTTTGAGCAATGGCCCAAGGAATATGTTCTATGGCTGAAGATTATATTAGAAGATAAAGTGGGATGGACCTATGAGGTTATAGTATGACAATAAATTTGTAATTAGTATAACCCACAACCCGATGCAACATGATAGAATTAAATATATCAAGGTGGACAAACATTTTGTCAAGGAAAAGCTAGTCAAGGAAAAGCTAGTCAGTGGCTTGATTTGCATCCCGTATGTGTCCACTTAGAGTCAACTTGCGGGCATACTCACCAAAGGGCTAAACTAAATTAACTTTAAAAGAATTATATCCAAACTGGGAATGGAAAACACTTAATCATAAGCTTAAGGGAGAGTCTCAAAATCGTTCCTCATTGTGTATTTTAGGAAGTTTTATATTTTATCCTTACTGTTATTTTATTCTTTATTACAGTCATACCTTGCTAATTAATTCTGGGATTATGTATTTAGAAACAATCCCATAATCACAGGGATTTGTCCCCATAGAATTAGTTGTACATATTTCCTAAAATAACTAGCAGACTCGTGTATTTATAAGTCCAATGACCTTCCTTGTAAATTTGAGAACTAGAGATATGACCAAATTATAATATATTAGCGTGTGCAAACCTCATCTTTCAACGTGCTTTGTGTGGTTGAGTTAGACATAAAACCCACTGAGTATGCTTTGCAATGAAATAGAATGACAATAAGCAGTGGTTGGTTCAGTCTTGTTGCTGCTTCTGATATCTTGTGGTGGCATCATGTGATGCTTTCAGCGATTTTAATCTTTTACTTGCATTCTTTTGGTCATTCAAAATAAGAATGATACATGGTGGGATTGTATTCCTTCCATTTAATTAGACCTATGATTACATATCCAAATATAGCCTCAATCTGATGACCAACATGATAGCAGAATGTGTGAAGGCATTAAAAACTTCCCTTTCAATTTTATAAGAGCTATGAGTTCCAGATGTTCAAGAAATATGACATAAAGCATTAGAACATTTTTTTTCTTAAACTAACTCAAGCAACAATGTGAGATATGAAATTTTACTAAATGTCTGATTTGGTATGCTTTATTGTAGAATCATTAGTGCTTATACAACAATATAAGTCTTATCCCACTAGATGGGGTTGGTCACATGGATTGTACAACATCATTGGGCTTGGTTAAAGACCAAGTTCTTAGGAATATTATTCACATGACATCCATCATAACAATTTATTCCATTGGATTTCTTGGTCCTCCTCTACACTTTTCTACAGGGCTACAACAATTTATGTAAAAAAAGTTGTTGATTAAAAACTGATGCAAATAAGTTGGAAGACGATGATGCTTGTAGAATTTGCAAAACAAGAATATTGACTGATGGAATTGACATTACTGTGTCACCTTGATCTTATGTGACATGCACATAAATTTAGATTTTAACCACGTGACAATCATGGTTTGTCAGGACGAGCTTGATTGGAATGAAACATTGATAAAACGTTACGTTGGAAGGGAGGTAGGTGACCTTTGTCTGTTATCAATTTATTGTTCATTATTGGTCATCATCATTACTTACAAAAGTAATACACGAATTAGCTTGAGTTTATAAATAATCTCTATCCATTATTTACAGGATTTTGGATTCTTGAAATTTGTGAACATTGTTTTCTTTTCTTATGACCACATCAGATTGTCACTTTTAGTGATTTTTGGTTCCTTGAATTCAAGAGTTTTTTTTTTTATTTTAGTAATTTTAGTTAAGGTTTAGAATTAGATGTTCAATGGTGCTAACTCTTAACAGGCTCTATGGCTTCATCGGCGCTTCCTTTCCATGTGCTGGATAAATAATTTTGTACTTGCTGCTGGTGATGCATCCTACCATTCCAAGGAGGCAATCAGCCTGTATCATGACTTTGGCACCTTTCTGCAGAATGAATTGTGTCTTCTCCACTCCTGCTCAACTATTGTTGATGATGATTTTGTGGATGTCCAAGCACAAGCTGCACATTCTGCTAGTTACATTCTCTGGTTGAAAGTGGTATGTAAATTATATGTCCATAAACTTTCTATTTTAAGATTGCTTAGTTGAATTTCTTTCTCTGGTGTCTTCCATGTATTATGTGCTTCAGCAAGTCCCCAAGCCTCTGGAGAATGAGCTCCAAGAGAAGATAAGAGATGTGGATCTGAAGACCTTGCTGAATAAGTCATGCCCAGTGAGATCCTCACTGTTCAATTACTTTATGAACTAGAAGAATGAATATGAGCTACATGGGATGGAGTAGATCTTAATGTTCATTCTAACAATTAATTTATCTTATTTTATGTCCAGTACTTGTGTGCATGAATTTGGCTCCTCTGATAAGAACCCTGACCTTTAGAGGGTTAAATGCAGAGTTGTTATAAGTCCACACACATACATTGAAAAAACACTCAGAAAAGTTGCTTTTGTAACAAGTGTTCTAGATGTGTTTCATATGAAACTATTACCAGTAACAAGGTTAATTCGAGGTCATATTTCATTCATAACAAGGTTAGTTCGAGGAGGATTAAACTCACCTGATAAAAATTCAACTGCACCTCAGACACTTGAGCTAAAATTTTCTACACTTCGATATGTACGAGTAAAGAAGGGAATTATGCAATCTATAGCAAATTTGCATATCTGGCAAAAGTGAGACCTATGGTGGTAAAGTTAGACTGCATGGGATCAAGGGAAAAAGGATTTGACAATCATTTGGCTAGTTATGGGTGGCTGTTGCCACAGAGAAGGGAAGTTTTCCTTCTCTTATTTGTTGTTTCATTCCCGGTTTCTTATTTTCTGCACATTACCTTCGTTGTTATCAGAGCTTGTCTTCTGAATAATTTCTCTATTAAGCCACATTTGTATAACATGTATTAACCACTAGCCAATAAATTCTGTTAGCTGTAAAACTTCTGAATTTGAACTCATATCATGCCATGAAACAGAAGTATAGACCATTTTACAACACTGGTAGAAGCAAATGACACCCATTTATTGTATATTACTTTAATATCTTGTTTAGAAGTGTTTACATGCATGTTTTTTTGCAAAATTAAGCAAAGTTTACAAATAAAATATTTTACTTTCCAAAGAGTGAGATGTGTAAATAACATTATTTTACCAATAGGTACAATTATACCAAAGAAGAAAGACAAGAAAGAAAATACCAAACAACCAATGGTTTGAATGAAAGGTACAAGAAAGTTCAGCAGATACATTGTCCAAGTAAAACCTATTGTCTGGCACGAGACAAAGCCATAATATAAGAGCTACATGATATGATATAATCATGATAGATAACAGTCATAAAGTCTTAGACAGTGTAGTGTCCGTTCATGGCATCTATGTTCAAACCCCTTAGCTTCGCAAATGATTCCACTCTACCTTTTAGAGTATGAAGCTCTCTGAGCCTGCATCACAAGGAAGGAAAATATTTATGAGAAAGAAAAATCATTTAAAGGTAAAATTAAATTAAGAAACAGTTTGAAGATTAATAAAGACAATGAATGACCTTGCAATCTCTGCTCGCCTCCTTGCCTCTTCTGCCAATGTATTAATTTCTCTGAAGGTGTGCTTATCTGTAAACCCTTTTGGCTCAGCAGAGTGGAGGCCATGTAAGGTTCTCTGCTCAGTAGCCCATGCAGCCTCACGAGCTTCTCTACCAAAGTCGTTTTTGTTGATGAATGCAGTCTGTTAATTTGCACCAACAAGAAGTCATATAACTATACAAGTACTGTAGTCATTCTGAGTCTTAGAGACTGTAAATCTATGATAAATCATCTACCATACTTACGTTTTGACCCTTTTCTTATTAGAGACAAGTTTATTCGTTCTCCAATTTTTTTTTTTCACTGAATTTATGACAAGTTTAATCATAGTACTCACCCTTTGGTTTACAACCAGATTCCAAGCCCTTCCACTTAGTGCATAACGAACAGCGAACTTTAAAGGATCTAGAATTAAATAAGTTATAGTATTGTATAACCAAATGACTCCTGTCCAGCCCCAACCGATACTTTTGATCCCAGCAACATTCCAAGTGAGAGTGGCAGATATAACAGTTGCAATCTGTCGAAAATATAGCAAAATTAAATAAGCAAGTTCAAATGGTTTTAGAGGTTTGAATAAGTAACGCAGGAAGGTTGAGAAAACCATGTACCGCTTGAGCAATGATGAAAGCAGTCACAAGCAAAAGACCAGGCCTTTCTGTGTAGGACCAACCCCTTGACCGTGTAACGAAAATTAAGGCTTGAGAAATGGTACTAACTTGAAGATAGACAGCAGATCCCAACATTCTTTTGGTTGGATCACTACCGTTAGAATTTGGATCATAGTGAAAGTGTCTCACACCAAAATGGTTCTGCGGAAAAGTACTTCACTATCAAATCGTTGAATGAAAGATAAAAAAGGTTGTGGACAACTAGAAAGAAGATACTTACAGGAAAGAAGTCTGTTTCAACAACTATATAGAAGAAGATCACAGTCATTAGAGCCAGATAGCTGCCAAGAACAATCCCAGTTGCAAAAATTTCACTAAGCTTCCAACTATCAGGAATTGGAGAGGGCTTAACCCTATCTTTAGATATTGTCATGATGGTTCCTACAAGGATGCTAACAAGTAAGGGGACAAGAAATAAAGTATTGCATGTGATAACCATTAAATTATAATGAGACTTGAGATTAAGATACTAGAAAGAAGTTAATATTACCGTCATTGAGAATGGCAATGACAAGAACCATAAAGGGAGGAAAGTCAAATTTCCAAAAGCTGTTTAGTAACATGAAACCAAGCTGAAATGAAAAAAAAAATTAAGAAAACTGCAAATGAGAAGAAGTTTGATGATCAGGATCATTCTGAATATGTTCTTCATGTACAAAATGCTTACCACAATACGAATAGTGATAGATATAGCATATATCTGCGAAGTAAAAGGAATAAAAAGAATCATGATGTGTTGTGGCCCAAAGAAAAGTTAGAAAAATTCATACGTAGATAGTTGCGATATTACTGTATAATTTTTCATTCTCTGGAAAATTGCACGGCTAGTTAAAACTGCGCTTATGATTACACTCAACCCAGGTTCTGTTAGGACTATGTCAGATGCACTTCTGGCAGCATCTGTAGCATCTGCTACAGCAATACCTATGTCTGCTATCTTCAGGGCAGGTGCATCATTCACCCCATCACCAGTCATCCCACAAATGTGTTTTCTAGCTTGTAACCTCTTCACAATCTCATACTTGTGCTCTGAGGGAAACACACACTATCAGAAATTGAACAAGACATTAAATTACAACTCCCTTTTGATCACTCTTTCTTGGCTTACCAGGAAAGACTCCAGCAAAACCATCAGCGTTCTCAATGAGATCATCAACAGCGACAACACCCAATCCATCTTTATTTTCACCGAGAAGTGATGAAGAAGGATACATGTTAGTTCCCATCCCGAGACGTCTTCCTGTTTCCTTACCTATGGCAAGTTGATCACCTGAAAGGTTTTTTTGTTGCGTCATAACATGAGCTTCTCTGATAAGAGGTTTCTTATGTACACTAGAATTATAACAGCTACACAGAACACGTAGAAAACTTTATTCTATAGGTTGAGTCTCTCACCAGTAGACAAAAACTATCACAAACTTTTTTCTTTGTACACTATAATACCCGATGAGGTAGGCTTGAATTTAGAAATTGAAATATTTAGTGCGTTAGAAATGTAGCTGGATGTCATGTTAAGCAATGCAATTTTAAATTGATTTGTTTTTCTTCACTTCTCCACTGTCTAGGCCACATCGTTTAGTAAGAACACACACTTTAAACAATAGCAATTAAAGCATTGAAGAAATCAAGGAAAACAATTAGGATTATTCTAGCAGTCTACATGAAGACAATTTCTTTGAAGAAAAACTATAAGAAAGAAGAATACTTAATTAATGAATGTTTTTAAAACCGGACTACACACTAAATTGGTGAAGAAATGAGTTCATGGTTTAAAGGTTTAACTATAGAGTCTAGTTGGATTTAAAAAAAAAAATTATGAGATATTAGTAACAATAAAAGAAAGAAAAATAATAAAAATTAGTATCATAATCACCCTAAGTTACAATGTTATAAATAAAAATGTATTAGAGAGTGGAAGGCAAATTATAGTATTATGTGTAGGAAATTTGTTACTGTTAAATGGGACAAGGTCTGCAGATCCAAAGAAGAAGGGGGTCTTGGAGTAGCTTCTGTTTTAAAGGAAAATCAAGCCGCTACGCTTAACTTGCTTGGGACTGTATTCAAGATAAGTCTGTTTGGGGTCAATATTGTTAAGGCAAGGTTCATTCAGAAAGGTAAGACCATTAACAGTTATAAACCCTCTTTGATTTGGTGTGTAATAGCTAAACGGTACCAGCTTATTAAGGATAACATGCGATGGGTAATTGGCTCTGGTCACAATATTAACTTTTGGAAAGACCATTGGTATGATTCTGGGGTGCTGGTGGATCTGTTGCACATTCCTTCTGACGTTGCTGACTCATTGTCAGCTTCTGTTTATGATTTTTGGGATAGGGACCATTGGAGCATTCCTCATTGCATCAGAAATGAGTTTCCTGATCTGCTGAACATACTACATGTGACGTGATGACATTGCTATTTGGAGTGCTAATGAGTCTGGTATTTTAAATCTTAAATCTGCCCGGGTTTTTGTTCAAAACAACATTGAATGTGTTTCTTGGCACAATTTGCTTTGGAAGAGCTTCATGCCTCCCTCTCGTTCCTTGGTTTTGTGGAAGATTTTGCACAAGCGCATAAATACTGATACTGCTGCACAGCATAAAGGTGTATCCCTTTGTTCTATGTGCACTCTACTCTCTGTGAACATGCAGAAGAAACTTCCAATCATCTGTTCTTTACTTGTCCTATGGCTCGTAAGCTTTGGAGTTGGGCTACGGAAGTGACTAGTATACATCTAACCATTACTTCGGTTGAGGATTCTTTGGAGTTGATTTATCAGTCTAATAGTCAACAAGCTAGATATACTGTTATAGCTTTTGTCGTTCATATTTATTGGATTATTTGGAAATTGAGAAATAATGCTTGGTTTCAGGAACCAATAAGTTATAATATGGCTATGTCAATGGGGTTATGAGGAATAATATTCAAGACTTCCAACTGCTCAAGTATTTTAATATTGATATACATACTCCTAAACAAGTTAGTTGCAAACCTGTGAATTGGAAACCGCCTAATGTAGGTGTGATTAAATGTAATATTGATGGTGCTGCCAGGAGGAATCCAGGTTGGCTGCTAGTGGTGGTATCTTTCGTGGTTCTAATGGGGAATATATAGGTTTCTTGGTAATAACTATGCATTATTTGCAGAACTTGATGTTGATATGACGTGTATTAAGGTTGCTTATAATAGAGGTTGGAATAGACTTTGGATTGAAACTGATTCTACTATGGTTGTGGAGGCTTTTATTAAAGAGGAGGTGGTTCCATGGAAAATAAAAAATAAGTGGTACAAGGCCATAGATTTATGTAAAAGGATAAATATTCACGTTACCCATATTTTTAGAGAAGGAGACCAATATGCTGATAAACTAGCTAATCTTGGGATTACAAACACACAGGATTTTCATTGGTATTTTACTTTGCCTAGTTGTATTACTCTTTAATTTTTTCGAAATAGGTATTTTCTTCCTGATTATAGGTTTTCTTGGGTTTTGGTTTCGTCCCCATGAAATTGTTTTTCTTGTTTCTATGATATGCTAGCCTAGTTAGGATAGCATAGAATATAGTGATGCTCTATATAAGAAGTTTTCTATAATAAAAAAAATAATAATAATTAAAATGAGATGAAAATATAATAAAATAATTATTATTTAAAATTGATGTCACAACAATTATGTGAAAATATTATATTTTTTATAAAAAAGTAGTATATGAAAAAATAAAAATTTTGATTTTTAATTTTTTTTATCAAAATTAGTATGATCCAAAAATCTAGTCAATTTTCTTGATTTTATCCGTTTTTTCGGTTTAATTAAAATCCAACGAGGAACCAATTTCTAAAATGATTCTTGGTTATATAAATCGGACCGTCTTCAAGTGGTGATAATACATGAAATAGATGTTTTCTTATTTCGACTCAACACAAATTACCAATTCACTTTAATCCTGCATAGTTTTATGTCTAACATAGAAGCATTTCCTTAAAAGTTCATATTGTAAACACAATCAAGATATTTGCAATAATCTTAATTGGACATAAAGTAATAGTGACACATACCAGTGATCATTTTGACACTCACACCAAGATCAAGAGCTCTTCTAATTGTTTCTGCACTATCATGGCGAGGAGGATCGAAAAGAGGGAGAATCCCAACAAACTCCCATGGTCCTCCTGGACTGTCTTTATTTCCGTCAGGTACTTCCTAAATTGGAGAAAAATTCAATTTCTATAAAAAAATATACACACTTATATACTAATGAGATGATGGAGATTTCATAGGGCATAAAACCTGGCGGGCAACTGCAAGAGAACGAAGTCCACGTTCTGCAAACTTGTCAATAATTGTATGAACCTTCTGATGGATTTCTGATCTGTTATGTGCAAGATTGAGAATCTACAAAGTATAGAAGTTAATCAATGATACTTTTGTAGGTTGTATGATTCTTTAGAGTTATAATGGATTATGTACTACCTGCTCTGGAGCACCTTTGCTAACCCTGTGCATCTTACCAGCAGCATCAAGGTATGTAAGTGCAGTTCTTTTATCAGTTGGATTAAATGGAAGAAAGTGAACTTCTTTTATTCCAGCTCGTGCCTTGCAAAATTAAAGGAAATTAGCAGAGTAACCAAATTTCAACTGCAGAAGATGGTGGAAACTTGTTTTGCTAAATGCTACAATTTGAATAATGAAAATGTATTGTCTGTAATATAGGGTGTTAATTAAGCTAGCATCTGAAAAAATTTATAATTTTTTTGAAAGTCACTGCAAACTACAATGGCAAAAGGCTTCAGAGTTGTTAATCAATAAGGTTTCTTTGAACTTGTACCTCCTTTGGGTCTGCTAACATTGAAACAATAGCACCATCAATTGCATCCTGGTTCTCTAGCCTTGATGCTCTTGCAGCCATAAGTACAACCATATCATTGTCAACATCTTTAACAAAAACCTACCACCAGATATTGATAGTTGTTTGTAAAAAGAGAGTTAGTATTTGAGAATTTAGATGCCATGCATAGATAAATACATTCACATCATCACTCAAATTCATAAATATCTATTTATGTATGCATAATTTAAAGGTTCCATATATGAAAAGGATTTTTTCAGTGCTTTATGATTAATTGTAAATTGATGTCAATTATTTGCATTGCTCATTATTTTCCCATAATATGTTTCTTTAAGAAATTGAGTACTCTAATTTCAGAAGTGAAATAGAAGGAATCTCCCATGTCATGTCCAATTCACCTTTGTACATTACATGACAGAACATTCTTATCTACCTGTTTCCAGACATTTGGCAGATACGATATTTATATCAAATCAGTTGCTATGTTCAGTTTTATTGTAGGAACTAAGAAGAAAAAAAGTAAGACCTCAATAATATTCTTGTCCACTGAAAGCTTGTTAAGAGTTAATGTGCCTGTCTTGTCACTACATAACACATCCATTCCAGCCATCTCTTCAATGGCAGTCATTCTCTTAGTTATGGCACCCTGCAAAGGATAAACCCTTGATAGACATTAGCTCAACAACACAAATGGTCCTATAAAAGCCACTGAAATTTTTGGATTACTGTACTAACCTGCTGAGACAACCGGTGTGAACCAATAGCCATTGTGACAGAAAGGACAGTTGGCATTGCAATAGGGATGCCACCAATTAATAGCACAAGGAGGTTATCAATACCATTTCTGTAGTCCTTTTTATGGATTGCATATATCACAATGATTTCAATGACCATACCAACAGCAATTGAACAGATGCAGAAGTTCCCAATAGATGTTAGAACCTGTAACAAATATGTGATGTCACTGAGCATTATCTTGACATTTCACACGGAGGTGACTTTACTTGGGACAAAAAACATTCATTTACACAACAATAAGGGCACTACAAATCCTATATATGTGAACCTTCTGAAAATGTCCAACATGTGTTGTGTTTTCCACAAGATGAGCTGCCTTCCCAAAAAAGGTGTGAACTCCGGTTGCAATAACTACTGCCTCAATTTCTCCTTGCTTGCAAGTTGAACCAGAATATACTCCTTCTCCAGGATGTTTGCTAACAGGAAGTGACTCTCCAGTAAGAGCAGACTGAAAAACACAGAAACATATAAATATTTGAATTCAAGAGGGAGATGTATGGAGCGGTAAGATGATGAAGCATACTAGTTAATGTCACATGTCATCGATATATGCATCAACAATAACAGTAAGAGCCTTTTACCATTAGCTAAGATCAGTTAGATGCACAACCACACCGCCAAATCATCCTAGACCATATTTTCAGAGATATTATTTAGCATGAGGTCTCTTTTAACAACTTCCTCCATCTATCTATGTGTCAGATGATTAATTTCATATTAATATAAAAACAATATTTTCTTTTTCTTGAGAAATATTGTGACCATCTCAGAAATTTCCTATTTAGTTCACGTCTGATTTTAGTTTAACATGGTTGATATGCATCAACTTCAGTCATTAACAGCGAAACTTACCTGATCAATCTTCAAAGGATCACCCTCAAGCAGACGTGCATCAGCAGGAATGATGTCACCAAGCTTGATGCTAATTATGTCTCCAGGAACCAAAACTGAAGCTTCTTCTTCACTCCATTTTCCATCACGAAGTACCTGTAAATGTAATTAGTTGTCAAAGGAAATGTAACCAAAACAGTATAACAAAGACATTGGTAGAGAAATTCTGAAAGGGAAACAAAAACATGCAAAGTGGAAAAGGGGAAGGACCTTTGCTTTGGGAGCTAATCTAGCCATAAGGGCAGCTGCTGCATTGCCAGCATTGTTTTCTTCTATGAAACTGATGGTGGAGTTTATAAGTAACAAAAGAACTATGCCAATAAAATCTTGATAATCTGCTCCTTCATGCTGCAGAATTAAGAAGTTGTTATTGTTATATCAAATTTACTGGATAATGGATTATAAATTGTGACAACATAGTTCTCAAGAAAGTAAACATTGACTAATTGATAATAAAACATGACTTTTACATTCAAACTTATCATAATAACATGAATTTTACCACCAAAAATTAATCTTGTATTCCACAGTCCTTTAAAATTTATAGTATCTATAACATCCAAACTAAAAGTAAAAAGGAATAGAATAGAAGAATTGTAATATTTTTCACCATAGAAAGAATAAAACATCAAATCTATCCTTTAAAAATTGATATTTTAGTCTTTGAAAAAGTTAAAAATATGAAATTGGGAACTATTAGCCTTTGACATTAGGGTTTACAATTTGAATTCCCAACTTTAGTAACTATTGGTCAAACTGGTCCCAACATTATAAATATAGCGTATTTTGTCCCTAATGGCAGAAATTAAATTGGCTAATGACTCAGTGATGTTATGAATCAAACTTATTTACAATTGTCAAAAAGTCATTGACTAAATTTGTTTATTTTTTATAGTAACATTGGAGACCAAATTGATCTATAGTTGTTAAATTGTTCTTTTACTTCACTAATTAAACTTGCAAAATCATGGTTTAATCCAAAAAGCATGGTGAAGATTTACCCCTCCGTGTGCCATGCCTATGGCCATGATAGCAGCAGCTTCCATAACCCATGACAGAGGATTCCACATAAACCCCAAAAACTTCAGAATCTTACTTTCCTGTTCAACCATGAAAAAGTATATATAGAAGTTATCCATGAGAAACCTGAGCAACCATTTGGAAAGGAACTAAGAAACTAAAAAAGCATTGAACTTTGGCTTGTCACCTTCTTTTCTTCAAGCTTATTGTAGCCAAACAAGTCTAGCCTCTCTTGTACTTTCTCAGAGCTTAAACCTTCTCTTGTGCATTTGAGATTATCAAAGACCTCCTCAAGAGGAATGTTCTCCTACATGTCACAACATAAGTTTTTATCCCATTCAGTAACGTTGGTAACTACCTTAGAGGATCACATAATGCCATTGGATTCTGTTATAAGACCAACTCCTTGGAGATTTTATTCACTATGAGATCTTTGTTAATCCTCTAATTTTTTTTTAACCTTTCTTTCCTTTATTTCACTAGCATAAACTATGCAATCTCCTTCCTGTTCTAGCATACCCTTCCATGCAGATAGATTATTGTATTTTCCAAGCTAGAAACAAGAAATTCAAACACATTTTTCTTTGACAAAAGCAAAACAACTTCTGAGTAATTTTCCAATTGATTAACCAACATTGAAATAATAACTCATCATTTGCATGCAAGAAACTTAAATATGTTTTCAGCACCAAATTTAGGAGGAGGAGGAACAAGTAACTGATAGACACAAAAACAATCATGCCACAAAGGTACTTCCAATTATTTATTTCACGTACCAGATCAACAGCTTCCTTTATAATAGCCTCAAGTTCTACAGACCCCTCTCCCATTTTGAAGCTGCTGTATCTTCTACTCTCTTCTCAACAAGACAATATAAGCACTTTTGAGCTCTGAGTCACAATTAAAACCTTTTAAATGTAGATATTGATGAACTATATTAACAAAATACAATGAAAATGTGAAACAACAGACAAAGATACAGAATGACAAGTTTCCTAGTTCACATAGTGAGTTCCAAACCATTCTACCCTGAAAAGTATGTGTATAACTAACTAAAAATTTTGGTTCTGTGTTCATTACCAGAAAAATTCACCTCTCAAGGTTTGATAATCTCTGCGAATCTTCAGAACACTCTTTGAAACTCAAATGAAAGATGACATTAAGAATGACATGTATATATATATATATATAGACATAGAAAGAGAGAGAGAGAGAAATGTGAAACAATGAACAATATGTGCTTAGAATAATAATAAGAATGACAAAAACTAGAAAATTTTTTACAATGTTACAAAAAGTGGCATATGCATGTGTAATTCTGCCGGCCAGCTTCTACAATGAAAAATGGATGTATTAAACAAAGAAATAGAGATAGACTCAAACATTACCCATTTTTGCCGCCATGTCATTTTGTTTACCTTTGAATCCAAAGCTCATTGCCATTTTGCCATGCAAAGGAACCGTACATTTTATTCTGGCATGTGTACTTATGAGTGACATATTTCTAAATCAAGAAAAATACCATTTTTATTCAGTCATACCAACACATGCACGTACACGGCTTTTAATATGTTAGTCTACCACGAAATAAACTCTATAAATGAAGAAAAAAATATTGCGCCAGGATTGAAAAAAAAAAATATATATATATATATATATAGAGAGAGAGAGAGAGAAAAAAAGGAGAGGAGGAAGAGAGATTACACTTATTATTAACTTTTGCAGTCAATAATTTCATATAAAAATTAAATTTTGTTGATCTAATAGTTGAATTTATAGTTTTATATTATCGTGAGAGTTTTTGTTCAATTTTATTAAATTTGAACAAATAATAACAAGGTTATAAAATATAATTTAGAATTTTAAAATTACTAATTATATGTATTGTGTGAAAATAATCATTATTTCTTTATCTTTACATAATTTAAAACTAATATTAAAAAAATTTATTTGAGTATATTAATATATTTTATCACTAATTATTGTTTACATAAAAAATGATAAATAATAAGTATTCAATAAAAATTATATATAGTGATTTTTAAAATAAAAAATTATTATTCTAAAAAAATAATAAAAATATTATTGCTATTAATATATTAAAAATGTTAAAAAGATATTATAAGTGATTCAATTATGTGCTTAAAAAATATAATTCTTGTAATTTGAAAAATTCTTTGTTATTTTAATTATACTAATTAAATTTTGTATTTTTAATTTTATTTTTAAACTAACTATTATTAGTTATAAGGAATAAAAAAACCGGTTGAATAATATGAAGAATTTAAAACTAATAAATACTTTTACAGAGACTAAAGAGCAGACAAAGTTATGTTTCGATGAACTTAAAAACATATTTAAATTTAGAACCTTTTTTTATAATCAATGAAATACTATATTTATGTAATTTTGTAAGTGTGTAGAAGTTACGAGAACGTGAAAAAATTGTGTAGAGTTGAACATATATTAAGTTTTAGAGTGAATTTTGTATATATAGATGTTAAGATGTAATAAACCTAACTTTGTCGGAAACTTATGGAAGATAACATTTAGATAACGTGGGTTGTACGTCATTAGCAAATAATAATATAAATTTTGGAGCTTTTTGTGACACCATTTGGCATCTTGACCTACAATAACAACTAATAAACAATTTTTTATTTTTTTATTATGAATTAAATAAGATGTTAAGTTAATGTTCAACATGCTACCCATCATCATTGAATGTGACAAACTCCAAATGTTTTTAGGCCTCCAAATGGGTAGATGAAGTTTCAAGCATTGTTACGACCATTCCAAGATTTTTCATTGTTAATGTGTTGAAAAATAATATAACACTAAATAATGCACGATAATATACTATATACTAAAATGGCTTCCCCTCAAGTTTAGTGTTGTTAATAGTTGTGTTATTAAGCATTATTAAAATATAGTCTCATTATGATAACATTTTAAGAGGTGGTTCCAAAATAACCTAGAACTTATCTAAGCCCCTTTTTGTGCCTATATATATGTTGCTTGCAAAATCTTTTATAATTTCAACCTCAAAAGTAACTTGGGTTTATCTAATCTTGATACATGTGTGTGATTTGGTGTTTTTGGCGTGGTTTACCTAATTTTGAAAGGTCAATTAATTAATAAAATAATAAAAAGGTGGATCATGATTAAATTTCCATCAAATTGACTAATTTGAAAATTTGTTGAGACAAACTAATTTATTCGTCACAAAGCTAAAAAAAATAACTAAATTATATAAACAATAAATTTGTGTTGAGAATTCACACTTGAGTTGAAGTTCATGTTGTATAAAAATGTAAAAGTTGCTTTAATAGAAATTGAAAAGTTGCATTTGATAGAAATTAGAAAATTGAGTAACTAATAAGTGAAAAAGATTCATAACCTAATACCTCAAGGTTTTAGGCTAAAGATGATATCATATTCTTTTATATGATTGATTTATGTTCCATTTGTAATAATTTTTCAATTATTAACCTCTCGAAGTACCTAACACTTTGAGTATTTTATACAAGGGAGTATGTATCATTTGCAACATCTCATATAACCTCTCCAAAAAAAAAAAAAAAAAAAGGTTAGTAGTGTTATATATTTAGGAAAATTCTCCTAAAAATCTCATAATCCTAAATACAATGTCAATTCAAATTATTGTATTTGAGATATTATTAATCATCCAAAAGTTCTATCTTGAAAAAACATCTTAACATATGTATATATATAAATTGAGTTTGGTGATGCAAGTAAAACAAGAAATAGGATATGGGGATAATTACATGACAATAAACTATGAAAGTATTCATAGAATGATTTAATTCTAACCTTCCATTGTATGAAAATGGGGAAAGTGTTTTTATTCGTGTGATAGTTTAAGCTTTTGTATGAAGTGCTGATTTATTAAGAACCTCCTTAGCCAAGTTGTTGCAACTTTGATCCACCATCTCCACCATCTATTAAACTAAAGTTACCATAACTACAAAATGGTATAAGATGTTATATCTTTCGTTATATCAAACCCAAAACAATATTTTACATGTTGGATAGATAAATCAAAATATCTATTATTAATGTAAGCATTTAATCTTGAGTTGTTTTTTTTTTTATTTAAATACTTATATTTCAGTTTTTTTATTTAATTCTTAACCTAATTTGAAATTTTGGTTTAGTAAAACATTATTTTATAAGTTATTTAACTTATCTATGATATCGATGTTAAGTCTATCTCATTAGTCAGAAAAAAAATATGTCAAAATTTTAGGATTAAAATTTGTGAATTTTTGAATCACAACTATTGATACTCGCTTATCTTTAGAGAGAATTATATAAGATTAGATATTGTGAGGGTTGAAGAGTATGATCACTAATATCTTCAAGTTAATAAGATATGAGAGTTGACAAACAAACTTGTAAATAAATCTCTTATCTTGTTAGGGGATAAAACATTCCTAGGAGAATTTGAAAATCCTCATTTAAATTTTTTTTACTAAAATATAAATTCAAAATGTTAAAAAAAAGTCTAAAACTATAAAATAAATTACTTTATTTTATAAATATTATGATTTGAATCAATCGACTTTTTGAATTTTCATTAAAATGATTATGGTTTATGAATTTTATTGGGTATTTTTCACCATAATAAAAGAACAACTTTTGTTTCAATACAAAAGGTTTAGAATATTTAAACCCCATGACATAAGAGTTACTTCACATATATTTTCTTAAACTAATGTTTCAAGGTTTTAAATGGGGTTTTGGGCTAAAAGGTTTAACAGAAGGTGATGTTGAGCTGTAAAAGTCTTGTGCTTGAATTTTATGTATTTTATATAATGATGAACTATCTGAGCAATTTAGATGTTTGAACTTCAATGACCTTTGGGCTTTGTAGTGTTCCATGTATGAGTTTTGGGCTACACTAGTTGCATGCCTTGGGTCAATTGGGTCTAACTTCAACCAAAATTGGGCTTGACAAAATGAGCTGGTCCAAAAGTTATGTTATTCCCCTTAAATTTTTATCACCTAAAATTCTTTATACTCACACCTCCATTTTCATTGTTCTTTATTTCTCTTATTTTATCTATGGTCTCCCTACATATTAGAGATATTATAACTCTAAATTAATCATATAATTCATATTTGATATTTTTAACTTATAAACAATATTTTTAAAATATGATCTGGGTGAAAATGAGTTCCATTAAAATAATATTTTTATAATATAATAAGTATATAATAAACTCAGTAATAAGAATATTTTATTTATAAAAAAATTAATAATAAAAATTATTATCATAATTACCGTAAATTTCAATAAAAGTTACAAATAAAAAATATACTAAAGAATATAAGATATATAATTATTAAAATAAGATAAAAATACGATATAATAATTATCATTTAAAGTTCATATAAATATGAGATTAAAATATATTATATTTTTATAAAAATATATATTAAAAAATTGATCTTGATTTTTTTTTTTACTAAAATCGGTTCAGTCTCAAAATCTAACCGATTTTTTTGTTTTTGTCTTTATTTAATCAAAATTTATTTATTTAAAAGTAATGAATCGGTTTCTAAGTCCGATCTCAAAGTGGTTGAATTAATGATCCAATTTAAAAAACAGTAACTATGTATTTAAATCCTACAAAAATAAAAAACTAATAATATATGTGTGAAAAAAAAAATATATATATATATATATATATATATATATATATATAAATTTATTGTAATTAACTTGTGAGTTATTGATATTTTGTTCAGAAAATTTTGTTTCTAAATATATAATGATTAAAAAGTTTAAGATAGCATTAATTTTTTTTCCAACTATATTCCTATCTTTTAATTATATTTATTAAAACAAGTTACTTAAATAATATTTTGATTGGAGAAAATATTAAGATGATAAGAGCATCAAAAGAAAAAGACTAACAAGTGAATTGAAAATAATGAGAATTAATGGTTACATTAGTTTGTGTAATTAAATCTCAAAAATATATATTTTGAAACAAAGGGAATAATTTTTATTAAATTTACAATTAATTTTAATTATTCGTTTTCTATCGATCTGAAAATTGATTTTCATTCTATGACATGGGTTCATAACCCTTGTTATGAAAAACTTAATCTTTTTTTTCACCCAAAATCTTCAACATAAATTATCGAATCTCTTAAACGTTATTCTATATATATTATTTCATGATGATAACATGGGTATTTTTGTTGCCTTGATTTAAAGGACACACAAGTTGTACTTTAGGGCAATGATTTGATCACCACCAAACAATGCAATTTATTGTGAAAATTAATGGGTAGGAAGAGCGTATTATAAAAGAAAAGGCCAAACAATAAAAGAAAGAGAAATATAGCATAACTAAAAAGTTACTTATATATAAACAATATTAAACTCAGTTATTTCATGATTATATTTAAAAAATAATTGTTTAAATATATTCTTCAAAAAAAAAAAGATAGGTATAATAATAATAAAAAGTATAAAAACATATTATGGAAAATGAAATGTAACTAAGCAAATTAAATAATAAAGTCATGATAAAAAATATAAAAATATTTTTTTCATAAAATAATTATAATAAATATTTATGTTTAATATAATTAAAATATTTTATGTGATTTTTATATAATTTTAATTATTCTATTGAGTTTTTAGTAAATATATTATTAAAAATAGTATGTTGTGTGGACTATTAAGTGTATATTTATGCGTGTGATTTTAATTATAAGAAAATTCAATTTAATAAAAAATTATGAGTAATTGTAAATGTATTTTTTCAAAATTCTCCTTAAAGTTTTTTCAATGAATTCTATGGAATATGTTATGAATTTTTTCTCCTATACTATTATATAAGACTGAAATTATATATAATTTAATCATTTATGTTATATAAAATCAACTACTTATTTAATAATGACACTTTAAAAAATTTAATAAGATAATTAATAATCTATAAATATTTAATATATTTTTTAATTATATTAAACATAAATATTTATATAATTATTGTATAAAAAATATTATGATATAATATTTACATGTTTTATTTATCATCAAATCCTGTTAATTAAATTAGATTAAATAAATAAAACACATTATTAAAAGAATTTCCCAGCAATTTATATAGTGCATGTTTACATATATATTTTCCATCACTAATGTCTTAATGAATATTTGAAATTGTATAATAAATTTACGAGATATAACCTCCCTCAAACCAATAATCTAATTGCATCATAAATATCATGAATTCCATATTCCAGAAACCGGCTAGGTTCATCTCGGATTTCGGCTCAGCTCCATCGAACCCGGCTCAGCCGTTACTAATTCCAGTTCGTCTCAATTATTGCTTCCAATTAAATGAGGAAAATTGAGCTTAGCTTTCGAGCCACGCATTTCAAAAGCGGCTCGGTCATAAGCCAAAGCCGCGTCCTCAGCCGAGTCGAAAGTCCCAAGCCAAACCCTCGCGCCGTTTCTCTTCGAATCCCTTATCTCAGCCGCAAACTTCCCCCAAGGTCTACGCCTCACTCCCTTGTAGCTCCTGTGAGGCGCGTGACCACCACGCTCAACCGTGGAATCCCCATGCGCTACGATGGCAGCCGCGGCCGCTTGCCCAGACAAGGCTAATGGAGAGTTGATGGCGTTGGTGAAAAGGGTGGACGTGGATTCACCACCACTCTCCCCAAGTGAATCGCCGGTGGGTGTGGGCAAAACCGCCGTGGGAGCACTCAAGTCTTCGTTATCGTCAAGGAGGTAACGTTGAATGGATTCAAGAAGAGCATAATCATCGGACTCAAAGGTGGTGTTGAAATTCATTTGATTTTGTTTTTTTGGAAGTTGAAACTGAAGTGTGGTTTTTCTCGGCATCATTGTACGTAGGAGTATAACGTGTATATATATGACCAACGATTCTGTTGTTGTGTACTGGTTTTTGCGTCCTTTAGTTTTGGCCATTTCGTAGAACCATCCTTGGTTTTCGAAGCACGTGTGAAATGGGTTTTGGGGCATTTTTTTTAGTCACCAAAAGTTTTGATTCACGTGGTGGCATAACAATAACGATAATAATAACGATGATGGGTGATATCATGAAGAACTCGCGAGAATTCCTTTTGTGTCGATTAAAAAATTTAAAAGGAGTTTGTGATGTGCTTTTCTCTTTGGTTTGATTCGTCACGCGCTTACGTTAACAAATTTCAAATGAAATTTTATTCATTCACACATAGCTAAACTATCGAGCGATGAAAATTTACTTATATTTTCATAAAAGAAATTAAATATTCTAGACTCAATAGATATCTTTTACATGAAATATTTTTAGTAGACTGAGATGAAATTCAGATTAGTTGGTTTTAATTTTTCTCAATTTTGTTTTTAAAAACATTTTCATGTGAAGCGTGAGAAAAAATATATAAATTATTATTGATTTTAATATGTTATATATTTATCATTATTTTAATAATCGGAAATTGGATTCAAATTAGAAACTTGTTCATTATTTTTAAATAACTAAATTTTAATTAAACTAGGAAAAAATCTAAAAAAATTAATGAATTTGTTGGTTGAACCAATTTTGGTAAAAACACGGATCAAATTTTTTTAATAATTTTTTTATAAAAAGTATAGTATATTTTTTTATTTCATATTAATTACATTAATTTAAAATAATATTTATTTTATTATATTTTTATTTTATTTTAATAATTCTTTATCTTAATTTTTTAATATATTTTATATTTATAATTTTTATTATAATATAATAATAATTTTTTTAAAATATTAGTATTAATAAATTTATTATATTATAAAATATTATTTTATTAAATCCTGACTCGAAATGTAATTTTAAAAACATTGATATTTATGTACTCTAGTTCATTGAAAATAATTATTTAACCCTATAAAAATAAAATTCACATGCATTACTTTCCTCTGAAATAAAATTAGGAAATAATAAAACGTGTGATCCAGACAATTATAATAAACAGTGAGTGAAGTATTTTGCTTTTGGTCAAATAGGTACACCTCCAATTAATGGTGAAGACACAAAAATCTCAACTGGAATATTTTCTACATCTCTCAGGTCACAATACTATTTAAATTTAGATGATGAAGACACGCATATATAAAGTAGGATCTATCCAACAAAATACAAATAATTAGAATTATCCTTTAATCAAATTAATTTTCACTTAAATAAGTCACAATATTCAACCTTATGCAGTTGTTACCCTCACTTTTCTTTAAAAAATGTCACAAATATTTTGTGAGTTTTTTTTTTTTCAATTTCAATATGTCTTTGTGTACCCGACATAAAAGCAATGAGTCATGGATAATAACTTATTTATTTAGGCCATGTATAATTTTTATTTTAAAACTTTATAATTATAGGAGAAATCTAAAAAGATTGAATAATTGTTTTTCAAAATTAAAATGAACTTGTATACGTGGCAATGAATAAGTTTAATATATATTTCACTCTTTCTTGTACAAATATTTATGAAAAGTTATGTTACACATATGTTTAATTATAAATAATAATCAAAGTTATCTTCTTTTATTTGTTGAAACCAATAAAAGTTAGGTGTTTCTTGCATAAGTAATGATTGATGTATGAAAAGTTTATCTATCTACAAAATAATGTTGTATGAAGACCAAGAGGACCCTTGGTCAATCATTGACTACTATTTTATAGTTCAAAAATGGTGGGCAAGATTTTAATCCCTATAACATGAGAATCCCTTGTACTCATGTATATGTAGTTAACTATTATATGCAAAATTAGAGTGACGTATGTCTTATTTTAATATTATATTAATATTATTGTGCAAGAAAACTTCGTAACGAAGTTTTCCTCATGCACAGTAAAATTTTTCTTATATATGAATACTGAAGCAGGGGAGGAGGGGAAACAAAATTTTCCTCTCATCCTTCTTCTTCTATTGTCTAAATTTCAAGCAACGAGACTCTACTCGTGCAGGATCTGGTGAAACGGGAGAGAACTTGAATTAAGTGGGAAAGCTTCGGTAGAAATACCATACCAAGTAAGGGGAAGTTTAATTCATTCAATATATGAAATTGGATTGTTGGGTACTCTGTGAATAAGGAATAGGAGTAGAGATATGAATTATTGGAATGTCTGATTTTGAAGAATGTCTGATTTTGAAGAATTTCTGATTTTGATGAACTGTTCACCGTTTGAAAGTTTTTTTGAAATTCTTGAAATTAAGGATGAATTATATACTAAAATTGTTGTTTTTAACTTAAATTAAACATGTTTATGGTTAAATTTTGATTTGGAACTAATTTGGGTGATTGAAACTGAGAAATTTGAAATCTGGATTTTGAAAATGGCGGACGGGAAAATCTGCAAAAATTCGCTCAAGCGAAAAATACGTCGCTTGAGCGAGAATACCTGGAAAATCTGGGATTCTCGGATCCTTTATCGCTCAAGCGACCGGTGTACTCGCTTGAGCGACGAAAGCTTCAAACAAAGGTGACCCCTCGGGTCATGTCTCGCTCAAGCGACTTGTGTACTCGCTTGAGCGACGAAAGCTTCAAACAAAGGTGACCCTCGGGTCATGTCTCGCTCAAGCGACTTGTGTACTTGCATGAGCGACGAAAGCTTCAAACAAAGGTGACCCTCGGGTCATGTCTCGTTGAAGCGACTGGTGTACTCGCTTGAGCGACGAAGCCTTCAAACCAAGGGGACTCTCGGGTTCTGTATCGCTCAAGCGACCGTTGTACTCGCTTGAGCGAGCGAAGGAAGAAGAAAGGGATATGGTGGGGATTTTTTTTTAAGATCAAGGGTAAACTAGTCAGTTTACATCACAGGGACATAAATGGAATTTTCAAAAATGTCCAAGGGTAAAATAGTAATTTAATGATTTCGAAAATGATTCGAAAATAGTTTCGGAAATAGTTTCGGAAATGATTTCGGAAAGGATTTTAGGAAAATATATATATAAAGAGAGAGAGAATGAAAGTAGAGTGTTGTGACGTGTGTGGGTCAGACTAAGCCTGAGGGCTGATGCCCAGAATTAGTCCTGAGACGTTATATATTGGCTAGACTGAGCCAGAAGGTTGGTGCCAGAATCAGTCAAATACTATTTTTATTGACCCGAATGAGCCGTGAGGACAGGTGGTCCAGAATCCGGCAAATGTGAATAAATTTTGTATGTTTGAATGGTACCCGGGGTGGTACAGAGTACATTAATGTAATAACTATGTCAGAGGATTCTGAATGAGGTCCCAGACTTCACTGATTGGTCGGGTCGGGTAGACTACGAGATCGGGTGGTGAGAAGTCGATGGGGGGATGACCGGTGGCGCGCTCGGAGGGGTACTCCGGTATGAGTGATGAAGGGCGCCGAGTAATCCTACTCGTGTGGAGGGTGGTCGGAATGGTGCTGCGGGTACCGATCACAATGTGCCTACGGATGATAGCCTCGAGTTCGGACATAGTTAGGGTATACTTCGGAAGGTGTCTTAGTGTGTTGATAATTTCGTAATTGATCATAATATATAATTCTATATCTGTTTTATTATATCGAATGATTTAATACTTACCCCTATTTTTCCATGTGGATGGAACTACGATGATCACTTTTATGTGGGAGCAGATCAGGAGTTGAGAGATGGTGATAGGACTACTGGACAGCAGGGATAGTTCAGTGAGATAGCTTCGAGGGAGCTACTCTTATATGTATAATATATAAATAAATTATGTTACTATATTTTGAAGTTACGTTAGTGAACTGGAATTTCAATATATGTTACAAATACAATAATATAATGTAAAATAGATATTGTTATTTACTTGTTTACTACTTTGCGAAGACATCATTATAGTAACGATTTCTAGGGTCGTTACACATTCAAAGGTCAACAACATTTGGGTCATAAATACACTTCATTTTGTTGACTACTTAACTTGTAAGTGTAAGTTTTCACATTGCCTTAAACCTAAAAGATAGGTTTTGATGATTTTCTTTTCCATGGTGGAACCTTTTGCTTCATGAATGGTGAAAATCATTAAGTACTTGCCTTCAACTATACTTTAATATGCTAAATTTTTAATTAAAGTAAGAAGGAATCTCACCTTACAGAACAAAATTAAAAATGAAAGGTAAAAGTTTATTAATTAAAATTCAACACAAATTAATTCAAAAACATAAAAATTTTAAGATTCTATGAATAATACAAGTTTTTTTATTGTTTTATTTATAATTATATATAAAGGAGATTCCTTTTATAATATTTTTTATGCTATAAAAGTGTTATAATTTAAATAGAAAATAGTTATTATAATTTTATATATAAAAAATACAGAAAAAATGAGTATATTTAAAAATAAAGAGAAAATAAAATAAAATATTTAAAAATTAGACACACGTTAAACAGTAGATGTAATTATATGTATTCTTGTCTCTTATCGTGTGTCGTTTCTCTTCTAAGAATTCAACAAGATTTTGTTCTTCACAAATTTTATATTATCGTGACACTATCTAAATATTCGTGTCAGAGTCTAAGAGCTTTTTTCTTCGTATTGGAAAAGAAAAAGAAAAAACATTATATTAACAACCACCCGTGGGAAGAACTCTGTCACTTCAAGTTTCAAAGCCATTTCAAATACTCATTGTAGCTTCAAAGAAACATCACTCCTGAGAACAATATTAAAGAAAGAAATAAACATCACGTTGTTCAAACTTCAAACTCAGTTTCAAAAAATTTCAACAAATACATAAAATAATAGAAACCACTCCAAAACGTAGTGGTATAAATACCCATCACAATATTCTTCATACTCCTTCAAAAACACCACCGTCTCCACCATCTTTCAAACCATGGCCACCACAACATCATGTGATTTCTCATCGTTGGAATCTATTCAGCACTATCTTCTTGATCTTGAACCCGATTCCAACACTCTCACGAACGTTCCCAACCACCAAATTTACTACTCTCCAAGGTACGATCCTTTCCCAAGCCCTACTTTGGAAGGTGTCCATGGTGCAAAGGGTTTGTTGGCCTGCAAAATAGAACACTCCAAAAAGGCGCGTGAGTTTCACGCGCCACCGGTATGGAAGCGGTTCCGAGGCGTGAGACGTAGGCCTTGGGGGAAGTTCGCGGCGGAGATAAGAGATCCAAAGAAGAATGGTGCGAGAATTTGGCTTGGAACTTATGAAACCGAAGAAGAAGCTGGTTTAGCTTATGATAAAGCTGCGTTTAAGATGCGTGGAAGTAAAGCTAAACTGAATTTTCCTCATCTTATAGACTCTTATGTGTCTCTGAAGCCCGTTCGAATCACGAAAGTTTCAAAACAAAACTCGTTGGAACCTTATTCATCATTCTCACCAGAGGCAGAAGGGTCAAAGAAGAAGAAAAACTTGGTTGAGTTGTTGAATAGATTGGCCAAGAGTAGAAGACAAGTGCATGTGTTTGAAACAAGTTTGCATACAAATGATATCAATGTTCATCAATAGTTGAAAGTGGACAACAAAGTGTCAATAGTTTCATCGCTTATTTGGGATTGTGTATAGTTGTTTGTTTGCGTAGTTTCAAATGTTTTTGGTGCAGATGATATTCATGGGGTGATATGTTATGTCACTAATTTTATATCACATTACCATGCTTGAAAAAACATGACATGTTACCAATCCTATAATATATAAAAAGTTATTTAATAGTTAATGTTAATTAATAGTAAAAAAATATATAAACTCAAAAATTAAATATTAATTAATATTATTATTATTATTATTGGGTATTTTCCAAAAAACTCTTATTAAGAAGACTTTTGAGGTGAGATCCACAAATTTAAAATCTTTTATTTATTTTAATCGAAATCTAATGAGCTAGTTAATCCATAATTATGACATATCATTGATTTCGATGTTATTATTGAATATTTTTAAAGGGGTAATATAGAAAGATTCTTATTGATAAGAGGTAAGTAAATCATATAAAAGAATGTATTAAAAATCGACTAGACATATGATAATATAATATATTATTACAATATTTATCTTATTAAATTAATTGTGTAAGATTGAGTTAGGTATCTTACAATTTTTAAAATGATATCAAAATAAATTCTAACGAAGTTAACCATTAATAGTGGTGGATTTAATCACCCAATAGTAGACTTAACCACTTTTTATTAGATTAATATTGCATCACTCATCTTCGACGTGATAGAATGAATATCGTGAGTGTGTTAAAAAATATCACATCAACTAAATATATAATAATATATAAATAAGTACAATCATCACCTTAATAAATTAATTTTGTAAGATTGAGATAAATATCTCACTGTTCTAAGAAAATATAATATTAAATATAAATTTGAGATTATAAATTCTTTCTCGTATAAATTTATCTTACTTTCTCATTTTTTACTAAATAAGAGTTTTTGACGGATGATAATTCACAACCATTATCTAGCTCATGCCAACGTAAGGTTGCGTTTGCAATGAGTTTACACGAAAAAGATTAAAATGTTTGAATGATTGTGTTTTTGTGTAACGTGGTGCCCATAAGATTCCATTGTATAGTTGTTTTCTTGCATAGTTTTCGACTTTTTTTTTTATGATTTTTGTGTACCTAGATATATAAATTCATGGGCATGTCATTAGTAACTACGAATATTTAAACATTTTAATTGTTATAAAATTGGTGACCAATGTTACTTTGTTACTTCTCATACATCACATCCTCCGACACAAGGAAAGAATATTATGTCATTTTCTTTAGGTGAGACATTACATCTTTTATTCTCTTTCTTGGGTTCCACAAATTATTAAATCAGAATAGTACTTTTATTTAAATTTTAACAAATTAAAAATTAAGTAAAATTACTGTTTGAGATGTCGCTATTAATTTTGATTTTAAAAATAACAAATCCTATTAAATTGAACATGATTTACACAATAATGTGAAGTAATAAAAGTGTTAGAATATAACTAAAATGATTTCTTACTATTATGAATATATATAACAACACATAATGAATATTACTTTAATTAATAAAGATACAATGCTACTATTCCTCGAAATTCCAAAATAGTAAAATAATTGAAATTGCGTGTTTCTAAGTTTCAAAACGTACATATATAAAATAGAACACATTAATATCAAAGCATGTGGTTAGAGTTATTCATCATTCATCGTCATCATCGAGATTAAAAACATGCTGCTACAACAACATCTGTTGCAATCTCTTCAAAACACTATTTGCTTGAGCTTGAACTTGATGCCAAACACTTGGACTCTAGTGCCGTGGAGAGGATCAATGATGAGAACAAATTGTGTAAAAGAGAACAGTCCAGGGCGGGGGGTAAAGTTCACGCGCCTCCCAACTGGAAGCGCTGTACGGGGTGAAGAGAAGGTCACGGCGGAGGTAAGAGATGGAAAGAAGAATAGTGCTAGGGTTTGGATCGGGACTTATGTAAGCGAGAAGAAGAAGCAGGTTTACGATAAAAGGTGTTTTCAAGATACATGGAGTTAAAGCTAAGTTAAATCTTCCTCATTTTTATTAATATTTTTCTTCACATTAATAAGGATTGATGATTGTAAATAATTATTTAAGTAGAAGATAATTATATTCAATTAACTATTATGAATTTTTAATAATGTTAGTTATCATATTTGAATAAAATAAAAATTTGATTAATTATTTTTAAGCCTTACTCCACATTTTAAGTTTTTGGTTGGATGGAAAAATTAATTTGAGAAAAAAAAATGGAGAGTAGAGTTGTTTGAATTAAAAAAAAATTGGATGAAAAATATTAAAAGACGAAATTGATTCCATTCATTAAAATATTTGTTTATTATTTTAATAATTTTTATTTAATTGTTTATTATTGTAATAATTTTAAAAAAATTATTCCGTAATAATTTTATCTTTAAAACTCGTATTCATATTAAAATAATAATATTTAAAAATTTAGAGATATAATTAACTAAATCTCGTTTTTCCATTTGTTAAAAAGAAAAAAATATATACTTTTTCATAAGCTCGTTTTTCATATTTTCTTTGCATATATCCTTTCTTTTTATTCTTTGTTTTTTTTTATCTCGATCCAAACAGTATCTAAATGAAATAGATAAGTTTGATCTATGAAATAAATAAGTTTTTTTTTTTCTTTTTCTCTATTTTCTACCCAGCTTGTAAAAGTCCACGAATAAATGGACCAATTACTGGGCCAAATAAAATATATAAAATTAATTTGGGAGAAATTTTGGTGTAGAGTAAGACTATGAACTCGGAAATTAAATTTGATAAGGGTGTGGGCAAATTAGGTTCAATTATAGTAACGTCATATAAATGGTTTTCAAAATGGACCTTCTATCCTTCCGCGAATTTAAGGTACCATTCCACATACACGAGTCTATCTATCCACCTTTATTGATGTACAATAATTATCAATCTTTTTAAAATTATTGGATTGAAGTGATGAATTTAATGTTTAAATGGGATTTAATCAAATAATATTTTTAATAGTATAATAAATATATAATATGTTTTTATAATATAATAAATATATAATAATTTTATTAATAATAATATTTTTTATATAAAAAAATAAAGATTATTATTATGATTATTAAGTTACAATGAAAATTATAAATATAAAATATATTAGAAGTAAAAAATGATAATGATTAAAATAAGATAAAAATATAATAAAATAAGTATTATTTAAAGGTAACGTAATTAATATGAAATGAAAAAAATTAAAATACATTATATTTCTTATAAAAAAATTTATATTTAAAAAGTTTTATCCTAATTTTTTTTTTACTTATTCAACTCAAAAATTCAGTCAATTTTACCGGTTTTGTATTGATTTTTTTACTTTGTCCCGTTTAATTAAAGTTCAGTTATTTAAAAGTAATAAGTTATTTAAAAGTAATAGATCGATTTTTAATCTAGTTTCTGATTTAAAAGGTTAAATCGATCGCTACAATTTTCAAAACAATAATAATTATTAATCAATTTGAGAATAGTAATCAGAAATGGATAAAAAAGAAATTGGACTATATACTTAATGTATCACAATTAAGAAAAAAATATTTTATTTTCATTCGACCAATAATTTATATATGAAATAATATATACAATTAAATTAATCAAAATTTTCTCCCTATACAAGAAAAATACTAAACTTCAAGATATTAAGATGAGAAATAAATTGGAGAAATTTTTAATACAAATATTTAACTAGTTAACATTTTATTTAGTCTTCAAATGAAACATACATATTTTTCAATATCTTTTTTAATATATTTACTTTTATTTTATCTTGTAAATATATATTATTGAGAAATTTCAAATATCATTAAACCATAATAAGTATAATATTCATCTTATTTAGTCGATTTTATAATGTTGAGTTAAGTATTTTATTATTTTTAAGATAATATTAGAACCAATTCTAAAACTGAGACATTAACAATTAGTCATAGTGGACTTAACCATCAATTATTGAATACTTATCGATATAAAGGAGTATGATAAAAAATATTCATCAATGTAAGAGAGTGTATTAAGAAATTTCACATCGACTATAAATATGATAATATTATAATATACAAATGAGTATAATTCTCACTTTATCGAACCAATTTTGTAAAATTGAATTAAGTATATATATATATTAATGTGTTAAACATGGTGGTATCATTGACAAATTTACTTAAACACTATTAAAAAATTATTAAACAGAACAAGTTCTTTTCACTGTATTTTATTTAAAGTAGGGTTATATTTATTAAAAGTAAAAATAATAATTTTATTTTTAATTATAAAATTATATAATTTATTAATGAATAAAAAAAATTGTGTTATACCATTTCTTTAAGTTTAACTTTTCTATATAAATATTTATAGTTGATATAAATTGTAAACAAATTTAATTAATTATAAACGTATATAATTGAATTTTTACAACTCCATTTCTTACTTAATTAGATTTTGAAAAATGGGAAAAATGAATTAAATCGTATATTTTGATAAAAAAAGAAGAAGATGTGTAGGAGTTCTTCATATTCCATGTGGAAAGCAAGATGTGTCATGAAAAATACTTACAAACCACTCATGTAATGTAATTTCAGTGATTGCTCAGACCAAAACATTTACGGAATTTGCAAGTTAATCCAATTATAGTAACTAAATCATTTTGGTCACCAGCTTATCATTAACCATTTTAAATTTAGAAATTAAAGAAATATTATCAAAAGTAATTTTGTTATACTAGATAAATTTTAAAAAACTCGTTATTTTATATATTTTCTTTCGTCACTTATTTTAATTTGCTTATAAAAGTTATTTCATAAAGTAATTATAAAAAAATTTAAACACTTAAAAAATTCTTCTAATAAAAAATTACTTTAAATAATTAATATTTTATTTAAATATTTCAATAAGCAACTCATTAAAATTGAAATTTTTCATTTTTCATTTTTTAAATTTATATATATTCAATTGATATGAACATTCATCAATTATTTCATAATAACATATTTTTGGCTTCTATTCTTGGCTAACCTATTAAGCAAATCAGCTAGGTTCCTCCTCTTCTTTGACCCTTGTGCCTGTGAACCATCCTCCGCCGCACGCAAATGTGGCAGACAAGCCTCCGGGGAGTTCCGCTTCAGAGCCGCCTCCGCCGCCACTCTTGCTCTCTCCGGCGGCGCGTGGGATCCAATCAGGTGTGGAAAATTCAACTTTGCCTTGCAACCTCTCATCTTGAAAGCAGCTCTATCATAAGCCAACCCTGCTTCTTCTTCAGTCTCATATGTTCCGAGCCAAACCCTTCCATGCTTCTTCTTCGAATCCCATATCTCCGCTGCGAACTTCCCCCATGGCCGCCGCCTCACGCCCCGGAAGTGCTTCCAAGTCGGAGGCGCGTGCACCTCACGCGCGGCCACAGGGGCTTCTATTTTGCATGCAAACAATTGAGTCATGTCATGGACATGGCTAGGGTTTGCAGTAGGATCCTCGTACGAGGAGGAAAAAAAGGTTTCCTGGTCGGAAACATTCACCAAAACATGGTGATCAAGTTCAAACTCGTATGATTGAACACCTGAAGACAAATCATTAGCCATGTGTGTGGTTTTTTCTTAGGAATTTTTGTTTCGCAGTTTTGGATGCGAATGATTCTGTGTGCTTGAAGAATAATAATGCGTTGCATTTATACCATTTTGGTTTTCGGTGGTTTTGAAGTTTTAGTTTAGGATAATAAAAACGATATTTACATGTGTTTTTCATTCATATTATTATTTTTTTACAGTGACAGATCAAATGAGAATATAATTTATAATGTTAAATAACTTTTAATTGAAATGTTAGTCAACCTTTGTTTTGGATTAACTTTTTTTTTTCCACATAAGTTGTATCTATATACAATTATATTAATTTACAATTATTTAATATTTGTATAATTCAAAATCGACATAATATATATTTTATAAAATATAAATTATTCAATTATTTTTTATTGTTATTTATCTTTTTATAAAATTTGACACACTTTCATTGCAATGCATAAATTAACGGTTAAATTATATTTTCTATATAGAGCATGATAAATTTAAGGAGAAGAAAATATTTAGTGATATTGTTAGTAAAAGAAAAATCGATACCAGGATCGAAAGAACCAGAGAGAGAAAATCGAAAATCATATAGTTGGTTAAAAAACTGATAAGACTGGTAAAGACACCTGATGACCATAAAGATAAAAACACATCGAAAATCAAAATCGAGAATCGAAGAAACAAATTTCGATGTATATTGTTGAAGAGAATCGAGAAATTAGAATAGTGCAAAGTTAAGAATTATAGGGAATCAAAAGCAATTCAAAATACTCGATGGCTGAAATCGAAGATCAAGGGAGCAGTTATCTTATGCGTGAGAACGTGGAATACAGTTTTTAAACCGTAAAACTAAGAGACGTGCACGTAGGATCGTGGTGACAGTTTTATTAACCACTCTTAGGAGGTTACTTGAAGGATGCTCTATAAATAGAGCGAAGACTTAAAAAAGAGGGGAAATTGGCAGAGACAACAGAAACAAAAGTGAAAAAGTCTACCGGAGAACGACGAATCATGAAGTTTCTGGCGATCTGGGTTTCCATTTTCATTGATTGTCTGTATCACTTTTTTTACTTTCCCTGGTAATTTATGTTCATGCAATTTAATTTGATGCAAGTTTACGTTTAACAACTTTAAGTTTCTGCACTTTCAATTCCTTGTTATTTTACTTCTATGTAAGTTTAGATTCTGCGTTTAAGTTCTTCGCTATTTACACCTATGCAATTTTGAATTCTTGTTATTTACATTTCTGCAATTTCGATTTTCTGTTATTTACATTCCTGCAATTTCGATTTCTCGCTATTTACACTTAATGCAAATTTGAGGTTTTCGTTTTTTACATTTTCTTGCAATTTAATATTTCGCACTGCTTTTCGATTCAACGCTTCTTTTACTTCGCATTTCTTAAGAAAAACATAAAAAATATGTACTCTAGGTCATGCTGTTTTACATTATAAGATTCTCGATTCTCATGCATTTTTTGATTGAAAACTAGTTGTTAGCCTAAGTAAAAAGAATCTACATGGTTGAGATTTGATTAGAACTTAACTCCCGATAAATCGAAATCAATCAAATTTTCACCAGAAACAAATTGGCGCGCCAGGTAGGGGGGTTGTGTCGAAAAACACAAACAATTGGTTAGTTCGAAAGTGTATGAGATTAAGGAGTGAGTGAGTATTAATAATGATTCAAAATACACAACATAACCAGAATAACAATGAGATTCCAAATAATTCACATTTGCCAAACACTAGGGGGCAAGTTCACAATGGGAATATGCCCGTAATATCGACAAATGTGAGTACGTCGATACCTGTGAGTGCTGAACAAAGCTCAGGCACATCGGTAAACACTCAGTTAGGGTCTAGCACTGTAATGTTAAACAATATACAAACTACAGGGAATCCCGTAACAACATATGCAGGACCACATATGAGTGTAAGACCGCCTGACTTTTCGATTAATAATATGAATGGGGCTGGTACTTCTTCAATACAACGAAGTACGAGATTTCACTACTAGAAAATATACTTTCAACGTCGCCGTTTAACGTCGGTTACATCTTAGCCGACGTTGAACATGCTTTCAACGTCGGTTGGTCAAAAACCGACGTCGAAAGTCGAATTTTGACACATTCTACGTCGTTTTAGCATGCCCGACGTGGAAAGTAGGCTTTCAACGTCGGTTATACCCTAACCCGACATTGAAAACCCTTCAGAACTCATTATGACCGATCAGAATACAAATATGACCGATCAGAATCAGATGTGATCGATCAGATTTTAATTATGAGCGATCAGAAGATTTTCAATCGATTAAAAACACGTTTCAATCGATTAAAATCTCTTAAAGTGTCAGGATTCTACGTCAAGTTGGCTTTCAACGTCAGTTATGCCCTAACCCGACGTTGAAAACCCTTCTGAACTCATTATGACTGATCAGATTACAAATATGACCGATCAGAATCAAATGTGATCGATCAGATTTTAATTATGAGCGATCAGATCAGAAGTTTTTCAATCGATTAAAAACACGTTTCAATCGATTAAAATCTCTTACAGGGTCAGGATGATCGATCAGAATCCAGTTATGACCGATCAGAACTATTTTAATCGATTGAATCTCGTTTCAATCGATTGAAATATATGACTGGAGATAAAACGAGTTTCAACGTCGGGTGTGGGTATAACCGACGTCGAAACCCCGTTTTCCCATTAATAGGCTACCATTTTTGTATCTCCCCTTACTCTCCAACATCGCGCCCACTCCCCTTACTCTCCAGCATCGCGACCACCACCTACCACCGTGATTTGGACTCTCCGGACGCCCTCCCTCACGTCGCCACCGCGCACCGCGTGACACCCCCGCTGCAGCACCTCCACCCCACTGCAGCTTCCACCCCACCGCGACGCTAGTCGCCCACCGCGACGCTAGTCGCCCACCGCGACGCTAGCAGCCTCCACCCACATTGCATTGCATCCTAACGCCACCACCCCATTGCATTGCATTGCAGCCTCCAACCACATTGCATTGTCCGCTCACCACAGCCTCGACCCTAACGCCGCATTGCATCCTCCACCTCCACCCCAGTGCAGCGCTGCTCTGTTTCTCTGTGGTGCGAACCTTCATCGCTGCCTTAAACCACAGGTACGATGTTGTTGCACTTATATTTGTTGGGCAAAGTCATACAATTTTACTTACTACATTTCATAGGTAGAGATTGTTAGTCATTTGCCGTTAACTGTTGATTCAATTCTTAGTCATATTATAGTTTTTTTCAATGTATTGATGATGTGTACAATGATACTTGAACTGCTTGAATATGCCCGTGGGGCTTTTTATTGTCAGGTTTCACTGTGTCATTTAAAATTGTTGCCAAAAAACAAAGGAAACTCTGCCGGATTTTTGTTAAAAATTAATCATGAAGTGTGAATTCTGAAAACTACATATAACAATGTAGTTATATAAGTGATGGTAGTAACAATGAAAACTCTATAATTTCAATTTATACAAATTTGGTTTTGACCAAAAAATAGACGAAATTCTGTTGAAATTTCGTTACAAATTAATCTATATGTGCCAAAGTAGTTGATGAAAAATCATTGGAGCAGTTGGAAAATGAAGCTGTGGTTATATTATGTCAGTTGGAGATGTATTTTCCTCCATCATTTTTTGACATTATGGTGCACTTAATAGTTCATCTTGTAAGAGAGATAAGACTGTGTGGTCCGATTTATTTGAGGTGGATGTACCCAATTGAGCGATGTATGAAGATCTTTAAAGGGTATACAAAGAATCCATATAGACCTGAAGCTTCTATTGTTCAAAGGTATATTGCAGAAGAAGCTATAGAATTTTGTTCTGAATATTTAGGAAAGGCCCTAGCAGTGGGTGTACCTACTCAACGACATGATCATAGAATAAATGGTAAGGGCACTCGTGGGGTCAAAATACAATCAAAAAATGCTAGTGAGTTGACCAGGGCACACTTGTATATTCTAAACAACACAGATGAAGTTCTTCCTTACATATCTGCTCATCAATCAATATTGAAGACCCTCAACCCCAAAATGAGTGAGCGGTGGTTGGTTAATGAACATAATAATACTTTTGTTAGCTGGTTTAAAACAAAAATCTTTTCCGAGGACAATGCATCCGATACTTTGAAATGGCTAGCACATGGTCCTAAACGTAACGTCGTGACTTGGACTCGGGTATGACATTAACAAATACTCATTCTACACAAAGTTACAAGATGAAAAAAGTACAGTCCAAAATAGTGGAGTATCTATTGAGGCGACATCCATGCACTTTTCTAGTTCAAAGGATAAGAACCCAATTATGGCATCTATGAGTTAATTTGGAGTGATTGAGGAGATTTGGGAGGTTGACTACATTCAATTCAGAGTTCCTATATTCAAATGTAAATGGATTGATATTAATACTGGTGTTCAAACTGATGAAATGGGATTCACTTTGATAGACCTTAAGAAGATAGGACATAAGGAGGAACCATTCATAATGGCGTACCATGCAAAACAAGTTTTCTATGTAACTGATCCATGTAATGACAGATGGTCAGTGGTACTCCAAGCAAAAGGGAATGATGTTATGCATGAAGAAGATGATGAATTAGATGATATTATTAACATCCCCACTCCATCACGGATGCCTAGTAGTATTGATGATATGCAAGAAGATTTGGTTCATGCTATTCGTAAAGATCATGATGAAGGCATATGGGAAAACTTAACTATTTAAGTTATGTGTTCATAACTAATTTGTGTTTATATTGAAAATATGTGATACATTGTGTTTATATTTCAAATATGTGATAAATTGTGTTTATATTCCAATTTATGAAAAAACTTAACTTAAATTTTTTTTTTTAACAGGCAAATGGCATCTCGTCCACCATCTCCTCCAGCATCTCCTCCATCATCTCCTCCGGCATGTCCACCCCCCCCATCTCTAAAGAGGACTCGACAAGCCACACGGTTGAAAAAGTTGACCGT